TGTACAGTCGCCTGCCCCCAGAGCCCCAACGCAAAGAAGCACAGGTCGATTTGTTCCCCGATATCCAGGAAGGGGATTCAAAACCAGGGCTTGCCAATTATCTTGATGAATTTCTCAGTGCTATCAAAGTCTTTGGCTACCTCGAACGGCCCGTCTTCCACGAGTTGACCCGGACGATGCAGACCAGGAAGCTGATTGCGGGAGAGACGCTCATGCTGGAGGAGGAGAAGGGCTTCTGCATGGTTGTGGATGGACTCGTTCAGATCTTTGTGAAATCAGCACGTGAAGGGAAGTCAGGCTCGCAAGAGAATTTCCACATGGACGATGCCTCCTCAGACGAGGAGGACCAGAATATTCACAACCGACAGGGCTATCAGCTCCTCACCGAGGTCAAGAATGGCGCTTCGATGTCGTCTTTGTTCTCTATCCTCCAGCTGTTTACCGAAGATATTGAGCTTCGTAACTCACGAAGTCACAACTCCAGTATATCCAGTCCTAGTCTTGCCCAGACTCATGTGCCTGATACCTTCGCTCTTAGTCCCGGGTCCACCGTGAGAGATGCCGCAAACTTGAAAACTGCAGCCCGTGGATCTGCCGATACATTGCCACCAGTGCCTCCGCTGAATCTCGGAGAGAGCCATGCCATGCCCCGACAGGACCCTGGCCAGACCCCGCAGTCGGAGAATAAGGAAAATGCCCAGAAAAAACGCCGCAAGTCAGTACACCCAGACATTGTAGCACGGGCTACAGTCGACACAACGATTGCTATCATCCCAGCGAGCGCATTCCGCCGCCTGACAAGAGTCTACCCACGGGCAACGTCGCACATCGTCCAGGTTATCCTGACACGTCTCCAGCGGGTCACGTTTGCCACAGCGCATTCTTATCTGGGCCTGACTAGCGAGGTTTTAGGCATAGAAAGGCAAATGTCTAAATTCACCTCTTGGGACCTTCCGAATAACCTCCGAGGAAGTGCGTTGGATCGTCTGAAGGATAAGTTCACGCGAGAGCGAGATCGATTGGGACCGGAGGAAGTTGGAAAAGGCATTGCTCTTCACAATCCTTCTGTCAGCCGTAGAGGACGCTCGAGTAGTACTCTCAGAAAGGAGGCCTTTTTACAAGCAAAGGTGGCCAGTGAGCGTCCTCTCAAACCCTTAAGCTCACAAAGACCATCATCGGCATTCATTGACAGGGACTCGGCAGGTGTCAGTCCCGGTGATCTGCTATCGACAATACAGTTGTCCCGGTTTGGACCGCGACATGATCATTTGGCACCTCGCCTCCAGACTCCCCTGACCGAGCGGGAACAACCTCAATTTGTATCCACTGCTGCAATGAATGGCCTGCCCTCCACTTTTCAGCGAAATGAGTCAGTTGATGAGGACACTATTTTCCGCGAGTCGATCTTGGATTGTATCATGAACGGCATTGGGCTTACTGAAGGCACACGCGATAATTTGCGCAAGAGCAGCCACTCTGGCGATGTGTCACCGAGACTTCTCTCCTACGATAACCGCCGCCAGAAGGCGGTGTTCTCCAATGCATTTGGTTTCATGGATCCCTACGAAGGGTCCGGTGACGGCGAATCCGAGTCCATGATGTCCTCCATGTCAGTTACGAGCGCAGGTGGAACTTCGCCTGTCCTCAACCTACGGGAAGACCTCCGTCACGATATTGAAGTAGTCTATTTTCCACAAGGCTCGGTTCTGGTAGAACAAGGTGAGCGCCATCCAGGTCTCTACTACGTCATTGATGGATTCTTGGATGTGGGTATTCCGGCGAATGAACGTGATGACACTCTTATTGGGTCCTCTCATGGATCTGCCTCGCAAGCGCAAGAGGAGCTGTTCCCGAAGCTTAGACGAACAACAACAGCATCGTCGCGCGCCCCTGGTGCAGCGAGCGGCAATGACCCCCGACGGAAGACCCAGCCCCGCAAATCGCTCTACCTGATCAAACCTGGTGGCATTCAAGGGTATGTAGGTGCTCTTGCATCGTACCGCTCGTACACCGATGTTGTGGCCAAGACGGATGTCTACGTCGGATTCCTTCCCCGGGCTTCCCTCGAGAGAATCGCAGATAGACACCCAGCTGCTCTGTTAACGCTGGCGAAGCGGTTGACAAGACTGCTACCCCGTTTGCTGCTCCACATTGATTTTGCGCTAGAGTGGGTGCAGGTTAGCGCAGGACAGGTGATTTATCACCAAGGGGATGAAAGCGATGCTATTTATCTTGTTCTGAACGGTCGTTTGAGGTCTGTCCTTGAGGGATCGAACGGTAAGATAACTGTCATTGGTGAACACGGCCAGGGTGAGAGTGTGGGTGAACTCGAGGTTATGACTGAATCTACAAGACCGTCTACCTTGCATGCTATCCGTGAAACGGAACTAGCCAAGTTCCCACGGTCCCTTTTCAATAGTCTCGCCCAGGAACATCCTGGAATTACCATTCAGGTCTCTAAACTTATTGCCCAACGAATGCGTGATTTAGTCGAGCATCCGCTTTCTGAAAAGGGAATTGAACAGGGACATGCTGGCGGCGTTCAGACTGCAACCTCAACAGTCAATCTTCGCACTGTGGCAATTCTTCCGGTCATGGCTGGCGTCCCGGTTGTGGAATTTGGGCATAGACTCTTGCAGGCGTTGCACCAAATTGGTGTCACCAGAGGTGTCACATCACTCAACCAAGCGACGATTTTGAACCACTTGGGTCGCCATGCCTTTAGTAAGATGGGGAAGCTTAAGCTTTCCCAATACCTGGCTGATCTTGAAGAGAAATTTGGAATGGTCTTGTACATCGCTGACACCAACGTGAACGCGCCGTGGACCCAGACTTGCATCGCGCAAGCTGATTCTATTCTGTTGGTAGGCCTCGCAGAATCTTCGCCAAGAATTGGTGAATATGAGCGGTTCCTGCTGGGTATGAAGACCACTGCTCGCAAAGAACTGGTTCTCTTGCACGCGGAGCGATACTGTTCACCTGGACTCACTCGGGAATGGCTTAAGAACCGGGTGTGGATCAACGGTGGCCATCACCACATTCAAATGGCCTTCCGCTCGACTACCGAGGCTTCGCACCCGCCGAGTAAGAAGTTCGGCACTGTGTTGAAGCAGCGCGTGCAAATCCTGCAAGCCGAAATCCAAAAGTACACGTCCCGGCGTGCACAACAAACCCCACTCTATTCCCCGCAAACCCCATTCAAGGGTGACTTCCATCGGCTGGCTCGGCGTTTGTGCGGCAAGTCTGTTGGTCTTGTACTGGGCGGAGGTGGAGCGCGTGGCATTTCGCAAGTTGGGGTCATTAAAGCGCTCGAGGAGGCTGGAATCCCCATTGATATCATCGGTGGCACCTCGATCGGTGCTTTCATTGGAGCTCTGTACGCGCGTGATGCTGATGTTGTGCCCATGTACGGGCGAGCCAAGAAGTTCTCCGGGCGTATGGGGAGTATGTGGCGGTTTGCATTGGATTTGACCTATCCTACTGTTTCCTACACCACAGGTCATGAGTTCAACCGCGGAATATTCAAGACCTTTGGAGACAGCCAAATCGAAGACTTCTGGTTGGAGTTCTACTGCAACACAACCAACATCAGCAGATCCCGAATTGAGTACCACTCGTCTGGTTACGTCTGGCGGTACGTTCGGGCCTCGATGTCATTGGCCGGCCTGATGCCTCCTATCTGTGATGAAGGTAGTATGCTCTTGGACGGTGGCTACATCGACAATCTCACTGTGGCACACATGAAAAGTCTTGGAGCGGATGTCATCTTCGCAATTGATGTTGGGTCTATCGACGACACCACGCCCCAGGGATTTGGAGACTCATTGTCAGGATTCTGGTCGGTGTTCAACCGATGGAACCCCTTCTCCTCACTCCCGAACCCACCTACACTTTCCGAAATACAAGCACGACTGGCGTATGTCTCATCCTTCGACAATCTCGAGCGCGCAAAGAACATGCCTGGCTGCTTATACATGCGTCCTCCTATCGACCCATACGGCACCCTAGAATTCGGTAAATTCGACGAAATCTACAAAGTCGGCTACGCATATGGAAAAGAATTCCTCGACCGTTTGAAGAGCGAGGGCTCACTGCCTATCCCAGAGGAAACCGAGGAAAAGCGTAAGCTGCAGCGGACTATGGCTCCTCGCCGAGCTAGTATCTAACTGTTTCAACATCATCCGTTACCTCATCAGGTCCAATGAAGCAAGGACTTGACCTTTTGGTATGCGGCGTTCAACACTGCATACGATTTGCTCTGCTTGGTGCTGACACCATTTTCTGCGCGAGATACCGATTGAGTGGCTTCTCTGATTGAACATGTACATTCAATGTATACTGTAAATAACCAGAACATAGAAACGCAGCTTTGCTGGCAGTCATATGAAATCTACTTCCAAGGTTCCTACGTAAGCTTTGCGAATCAGGCCACTTAAGTATACATGTAGCCATACCATCTTGTACATGTTTATTGAAGAAGGAGAAAGGTATCACCACGTCGAACACCCCAAGTTTCGACAATATTATGAAGTAATTAATCGATTAAGGTATTAACAAAAAGACAACACGTTGAAAAAAGGTATCCCCGCGTCTGCGATGGATGTACACAGTACTGTCCATCAGATATCAACTTCACCCTGCTCCCATCCCGGCTCATAGTCACATATCTTGCACTATAACCAGCAAGGAGAGAAAGAGGAAGAAGAATCATGATCTTTCAAACTAGCAAATCGAGGGTATTTATACCCTGCAGACCCCATACTAACAAGGCTCAGTCTGCTAACAATCAACCATCTATGGGATGGTTCAGCAGCATATGTTCAATCCCGCCGTCATCAAAGTTCAAGTTCATCATGGTAAAACCAAAAAAAAGAATCCGCAGAGTAACTAATAGTCCAAAGCGGTTTCCTAAACGTCCCAGTAAATGATATATCCACAACCATTGACCATGTCAAGAGATAGCAGTTGTATATTATCCAGGAAGGTAACCGAAATACTAATCAGACAGTTCCAGCAGGAGCTGCAGGCGCATCAAGAGGTGGACGGGTCCCAGAGTTAACTTTATCCTCCTCGGTGCGTGGGGGAATGTGAGTGTTTCCCCTGCGATAGGCCCAAAGGGCAGCGACTTCAAGGAATATGCCGAAGAAGGTGAAGATGCTGCTATGATGTTAGTTTTCACCTTTTAACAGCAGTTCGAAGAATTCAGGCCACATACAAAGCTAGGAAGATGAAAGCTTCATTGGCCCTCTTGCGCTTGCAGTTGAGGCCTGCGGGGATAGCGTGATAACACCGTCTTGTGCTGTAGTCTTGTGCCGAGAAAATAAAGGCAGTCAACCAGCTAGAATAGATGTTAGAGAATTTGATGTAGGCAATATGATGGAATGTTGACATACAGGTACGAGAATATGACGTCGATGGCGAGCACGAATCTGCCCAACGACGATGGCATAAAAGGCGAAATGAAAGCTGGGAGGAAGAAGACGACCGAGAGGACAGCCTGAGCTTATGGTTAGATCATATGGTTCTGTGATAATTCGTTAACCCAAGAAAACGCTAATAACGTACAATGACTTCCTGGTAGATGGTATGCTGGCCACGGGGACCACGGTTGATGAAGAATGAGGTCAGGCCCATGACAATGACAGCACTACCCCACTGCATGGCGCGAGTGGCCAGTTGCAGCGGACGAGCCAGGGTTGTTGAGAAGCCCATTGTGTGTAGTAGATGAACTAAGAAGTATACAAAACGTGGAAGGGGGAGTAATAAGCTCGAGTGTGACACGCCTATGTGATAATCGAGAAATAGATAGAGAAAATACAGGCAAGGAAAAAAGGAATCAACTTCCACTGCAGAAGAGCAGGGAGCAGGAATTTATATCTCGGAAACGATCATCCAAACATCACTGGTTCCATCGAACTATCATTAACAAAGCAAACAAACAAGACTAATACCAACCATGGAAGTACAATGCAACAAGATCCATTATAGTTCAGGGCCAGAGCCAGCAAGGACGAAAAAGCAAGAATTCCCCAGGTGCGTCATGATGGCCTCTGCATGAAGTCAGAACCAACCATATCTGGACCAGATCCCAATTTGGCACTGTCTACTCTTCCGCCATTGGAGTCTGTGTTTACCTTTTGATTTGTGTAGCTATTCGAACTATATTGTGCAGTAAGTTCAATTTACTTTTGTTCTATACGAGGTCAAGGAGGATTGGCATTGTCATGTTCTCGTACACAAGGATTTAGCTCAAATCGATTTCAAGTATAACGTGAAGAAAATGAATTAACGTCAAACAAAAAAAAAGCCCAGCCGGCAGCTTGCGGAAGATAATCTAACGACTGCTTAGCCTCGTGATGTGATAGTTACCAAGTGCCAATCAGAGCGAGGCCCCATATGGGTATATTGCACCACTGGTGCATGACCACCGAGAAGAACAACATGACTATACTCTGCAGCATCACCCAATAGTGGGGTTCTCCCTGCATGGGCCATGATCGACAGTGTCTTCAGCCATGTTAAAGCTTTGTTCGATGCACTCGATGTTACCTAGGGATAGTGACATTCCTTTACTCACTTGGACTTGGATCAGGGTGATTTCCGATATCCCAGACACAACTAGCTTTATTGCTTGGTGATATAAATTGTAAGAGATACTAGTGATGGCCACACCAAAGTGTTGTGTAACGGGTGTGATAGATCATATTCGTTTGTACAACATTGTTGTCCTCGACTGATCATGTTGTGGATGGACAAGTCTACAAGATTGTTCCGACACAGCCGAGAACAAAAGAGCAGAGCTGTTTCTTTTTACTGGCCGGTGGAAGTAGAAGCTATTTCATTTGGTTCATCTTGGCTACAGTTACCGTTGACCTAGAATGGGCATAACGTTACCCCAGAGACTGTGCATGTAGATGCCTCAGACCCCCAAACTTTAAACATGGCTCAGTGATAGATACAAGGAGTGTGTCTTAATCTTCTTAATCTGGGGACTGAATATTTCCGGTTGTCCTAGCGTGATTGCTCGTGCTAATCACCGGATGGTTCTCTGCTTTGGCCATTGTTTTTGAAGAGTGTGATAGGCCGGGAGATTGGAAAGGGGAAAAGAGAGAACAAGAATGGGGGAGACAGAGAGGTTGTGAGAGACATACAAGATGGTATGAAGTTTGATGAGAGTGGGATTCGTAAAGAGAAAGACGGTTGATTGCTCATTGAAGGCAAGACAGGCTCTATTAACATAGTTGTAGCTATTCATATGGAGGGCTGAACATGTCATATTTCGCTTACTACCACCAAACTCTGCAATAACATCTTTTAAGTATCAAATAAACATGCCGTATACCACGCCGGAATAAGCAGACCATTTGACTCCAGTACGCCCAAGCAGGTGTTTTCGGAACTCGCTTTTTTAACCCTCACCATGAAGCATTGCCAAGTTCATGCTCTTTGATGTATTCGCTGCCCTTCTCCAGGTACTCTTGCCGCGTGACCGAGGATCTGCCCAGATCACCACCAGATGCCCACTGTGCCGCGCCCTTCCAAGCATCGAAGACAGGGTCCGATGCCTTGCGTACATTCAGTGTAGCATCAATGGGCAGGAACCCGCGGACTTCCTTACGGAAGCGTTCATCGAAACCAGTGAACAACGTATTTCCTCCGGTCAAGAACACATCCTTCAAGAGAAGAGACTGGTCTGCTGGGTTGGAATAGCGTTGGTTAATGATATCGGCTGCGATCTCAATCAGACCAGCCTGGTCGAGGCCAGCAATGGATGGCTTGAATACAACCTCAGGCACACGGATGCGCTCCACGTTTAGGTGGAGCTGGTGTGCTTCCCGTTGGCTTTCCGGGTCGAAAGGCCAGGGCCCGCGAAGGAACGCGTGAACAAGACTTTTTGTCCAATCGGACTGTGCGGCGAAGGTGTTGTTCTCGTTGAATTCGGGATCGTACTCGAGGAGCTCCTTCTCTACAGAGTTGAGCATACCGTTGAGATCCTCCTCCTCTTCATCGTCACTGCCCTCGCCAACGGCTACGGTACGGTAAACACCCCAGTCCTCGTCATTGGCACCGAAGTCATCATCATCCCCGCCACGGCGGCGTTTCTTAGGACCGTCGGATGCTAGGTTGGCGAGCGTCTTCATACGCATCTGACTGGCCAAAGATTTGCGGTTTCCAAGATCGGCCGTGAAGCGGTCTCGGTCTTTGATTCTTTGTAGAATGCCCTGAGAGAGATTAGCACGGGATTTAAGAATATCATGTTGGGCCAACATACCTGGCGGTTGTTGCGGCGCTTTGCAATCCAGTTCTCAAAATCGTTCTCGCGCGTCTCACGGTCTAGACGCTCCTCTTCCTCAATACGAGCCTTTTCGCGCTCCTTCTCTTCCTTGGCACGCAGTCGAGCATCGACGTTGGACTTCATGAGACGTTGGTGTCGCTTTTCCTTCAACCCGGCCTCATCAAGTTGGTCGTCTGGGATATCAAGCATAGGGAATGTCATTTCCTCAGGCTGCTCCTCAGTTTCTTCAATACCTAGATCCTTGTTGCGTGAGCGTTTGATAGACTTCTCCAGCTCGCGAATCAACTTCTCAAGCGCAGCCTCGTCTTTCAAATCCTCGGCTTCCAGAACGCGACGAATCTCCTTCTTAGTCTCGTTGACTAGATTATTTTGCAGATCTTTCCAGTACTCCAGCTCTTGCTCCTTCTTCACTAGTTTCTCAAGTCGCATCTTTGCGGCTTGTTCTTGCAGGCGACGGCCACTCTCCTTCTTGCGCTCCGCAATTCGCGCGAGCTCCTCTTCAGTCTTCTCCTGCACAATATGCTCGGTGAACGGATACTGAATGACGCGGTCACGGTCCTCAAGTCCTGTCCAGTCGAGGAACCCACTCAACTCGCTATCGTAGTCTTGTGAGACGTAACAGTGCTTATGAACCATTTCCTCCATATGCGCATCCGTCAAGCGAGTCGGGAAGGTGGGGTACTTGAGCTTCATGAGTTTCATCAGGTATTCGGCGCTCTGCAGGCCACCCCAGTTGAGACGAGTGCTGTTGGAGAACATAGGTTTCGAGTTCATGACCGGAATGACATGAGTGGATGTATGCGATGAGTCCACGATCAAACCGTCCGTTCCACCATTATAGCGATAAGAGAAAAGGGAATCGACACCGTAGGCTACTGACGGCGCAGAGTAACATTCGAAGAGGATTTCATTCATCACTGAAGGAGTGTCAGCAACAACCATACTGGCCCTGGAACTGTCAGATACTTACTCTTCCTTGAATATGCCATATTGGCAATTGGCTCCGTCATCAAGATCGGGCGGCCGACACCCCCATTTGCACCGTCCACGCCTAGCTTGAGGAACAAATAGTCCAACACGCCTTCCATGACATCCCAGTTACCGACAACACTGGAACCGGGGTCGAAACCATTGCGCAGCTGTCCCCTCGTAGTCGCATCAACGTAGGCATCGTATCCGATAAACTGGCACTGGCGATTGAGCTTGCGATCACGGTATCGGCTCATGACGGGGGGTATGGCAAATCGGGGGTTTTTGTCAAAAGACCAACCGGCCTTGACGAGGTGGGAGCCTGCGCATAAACCATATGTATTAGCATGGTTGAATCGCAAACTATGTGTAATTCCTTACCATTGTCAATAACGATAGCACTAGTGTCGGGATGGGCCTGGCTTTGCTGATATCCCTCGGGCTGCGAAGGATGATAGCCCTTGAATGGAAAGTCTTGTACACCGTGGAGTTGTGGAGGCGGCTTTTGAGTTCGTTTCTCAGTGGCATTGGATGCAATGCGAGCAGGTAGGGGGGTGTGCACGGAGGTTATCGTCATGGCGGGCTGCGCTCCGGAAACCAGGAGCTATTGGGATCGGAGATCGTAGATGGCGAGTAGGGCTCACTGCATGGGAAATGAGGTTGGGATAGGAGGAAACCAGTGAACCCGTGGAAAGGGCAGCGGATTGACAAAGAGGCAAACGACACAAACGCGGTTGATGAGGTTTGGCGGAGTTGGACCGCCAAGAATGGAGGCTATCACTATCGTTTCTACGGAGCACGGAGTACAGGGATGCACCGATTACAACCATTTATATCGGCCTATTACTGAATTTAGAAGTTCATATCATTGACTAATTGCAGGCTCATCCACACATTTCATCGTTACAGGAAATTTTTCTTCTTTGGAATTCCTTAGGATGGGTCTTGGAGGTTCTCCGTGGCTAGAGGGCGTTAGTGGGTAATTTCAAGGTTGATATATGATAGTAGAGTCATGTATACCTTCAAGGTGGAAGAGAACATTAGACTGGTAGTTCTTGAACATCTGCGCGACAAGCTCAACATTCATGTTCTGGATGTTGACTTCCTATAATTGAGAGTTAATACTATGATCATATCCATGAAGGAGGCTCAAATCTACCTGGAGACCCTTGTTCATGACCATAATAGCTTCATTTAGCTTTTCCTATAGAAAAAATTAGCAAAGTAAATGTCGTAGATGTGGTTCAATCATGACATACAACATTGGTGATGATGCGAGAGAGCAGTACCGTCTGCTGATGCTCGTGGGGGCTTTCCTAGTGGCATGTCAGCATTTGGGATCTTTGAGAGCGTATCAGATCTATTGCACGGAAAAGAAACCGCATACCATGGCTTAATATTGAGAAGTGTTGTGTTGATGTCGGACGTGAAGGTGTTTATTTGGACTTAATCGGGATGAGATCACGTGTGCCTATACAGACTTCGCGGGCCGGGGTTGCTGGGTACTTGTATTGTTTTCTACGTTGGACCTGACCTTGTCTGTTTGAGATCCATCTCTTAATGCCCTATACTATATAAACAAGTGCTACCAACTCAGGAATCTAATATTGTTTGATCATACCGTCTCCATCCCTGCCTTCACACTCTCATCCACCCACACCGGCAAGCTTCGCAAGAGCTGCTTCCGCCTCAACCACGCAATTGACCAGACCGGTGGCCTGAATCATATTCAATATCATGCCTCCACCAACTCCCGCCAACGATGAAGCTCATCAGCAGCTGTTGAACACTCTAGACATTTCACACGTCCCCAAGCCCTTCCGCAACCCTCACTGGAAACCGTCCCAGCGGCGCAACAAGAATCTCAAGCAGATCATCTCAGAAGCCTCCCGGAAGGAGGCATCAGTGATGGCAACTCAAGCCAACTCCGGCGCAACTACGCCGGGTGCCTCGGGCGCTGTCACCGATGACACACAAACCCCCGCGGAAGGGGCTGCACCCAACCTGTCCCAGGCCACCCAAAACCTCTCGACCCTCGTCTTGGAGAAGAACGCCCGGGCGACGTTCCCGAGCGGACCTGCCGTCACCTACACGAACATTGAATCGGCACCATCGTTTAACCCTGCCTACCGCCATCACTACTGTGACATCACGGGCTTGAGCGGACCCTACACCGACCCCAAGACCCGGCTGCGGTATCACGACAAGGAGATCTTCAAGGTGATCCGGACTCTGGCACAGGGTGTTCCTGAAAACTACCTGGAAGCGCGTGGGGCCCACACCATTCTGAAGTAAAGGAGCGACAAGAGGCCTACTTTATTCAATTCCCAAACGAACGATCATACAAGAATGGGTATGTCATACCGGAAATAATTTGGATAGTAAGAACTCTACTAATTAATTCAACTAGACACAAATACGAATCGCCAAGAAGCGTTATGTACGACCAACACAGTCAAGCCCTTTCCACCCCACCATGCCCCTTTCGAGACAGGCTCAAGAAAACGCTCCGGCTTATTCGTGATCAATGAGTCGATCTTCGCCTTGTGCATAAGCACTCGACTATTACCGACACCCCATGGGACAGGGTACCAGTTACAGAATCCGAAGAGACTGTCGTCGCGGCGTGGCATGTAAGATTCTGCAATAGCAGGTAGCAGTATGCATGAGCTATGCTCAATATTGTGGTTCAGTCGGTATATCTCAATATCAGTAGAATTAGAACTGAAATTTGAGATCGGGAAAATCTATGCAATTGAACGATCACATCATTAATGACCTTGTTCAATTGCCAATAAATTGGAGAAGACTCTGTAAAGGAAGTGGACAGGTGGAAAGATCAGTGCGCGATATATGCACTTTGGAGTCACCGCCTGCCATTCCTGACTTGGCGCAGATTACATGGCAGAATTGTAGATTCCGACTTGTTTTCTGTTTATGTGCCTTGGGGCTTTTTGGCTACATCTTGATCTGTGTCAAGGACTTTCGAAGTGAGAATATTGTTGCAACAAGAGACTCGCTATTTCCTGCTTTGAAGAACGCCATATCTCCGCCTTGTCCTTGTCGTATCTGCCTAGCCTCTTGCCCTACCGATTCCACAACCAAAGACCACTTGTTTCTTGGACCGCAGTGATAAGTGTCGCGTGCCCTCAAACACTGGATCAAGAATATTTGCGCAACCGTCGGTCCCATATATCATCATCAACGGTCGAATTCGGAATAAACAAAGATGCCTAGCATGTGGTTAACAGAGAACCAGAGTCAGTCGCATTCTTTCTACAAGCTATGATGTTGACTGCCATCGCAGTGCATGTAAAGCAGTTGCCGAGCATAAGCTAATCTATATAACAGAGATCGGTGTGGTCTTCTGCTCAGCAGGTACAATATCGACATTCCTAAAGCATCATCAATCACTTGGACCGAGGACTAACCAATTTCGCTACTTATTAGGAGGTTTGTTCCTATTTGGAGGAGTGTTGATGTTTTTTGACCGGTCATTGTATGTCCATTCCGATATATCCCATATATTTTTTTTCTTGGAGGGAAATAATTGCTAATGCCCGTTCCACAGACTCGCTATGGGAAATGTATGCACATGCTCCAACAAAACTGTTTTACTTAACTAACAATACCAGGTCCTATTTCTTATCGGATTGACCCTCATTATTGGTGTCAAGAAAACCATGGCCTTCTTCACCCGCCCGCAAAAGCTCAAGGGTACTGCTGCTTTCGCTGCTGGTATCCTCCTTATTCTCTTCCGCTGGCCCTTGACTGGGTTCTTGATTGAACTCTATGGGTTGTTCATTCTGTTCGGCGACTTCCTTGTCACGGTCGGTCAATTTGCGGGCAACATCCCCGTGATAGGGCCGTATATCCAGCGTGGGCTGGAGGTGCTTGCTGGTGGGAGGAGCAATGCCGAGCTTCCTGTATGAGTATACACAAACAGGGACTCGGCAATGATGTTTCCTGATGGTATCCCGAACTCCAAGTCGACTTCATCTTGTACAATTACGGGATATCAGATGCACATCGCCATGTTTGGAGATGTCCAAGTATGGTGTGCTATACATGTGACACGGGATGATACGATCCACCTACGGCCTTCAGCTTTATGTAATTAATAATGACCCTTATCGATCTTCCAGCGTTAACTTAACAGCTGGTATTCAGTTAATATGCATGTTAGAATAGACAAATTACATTGTGCATCATACAATCTGGTTCGTATCCTCATACTGTGCATTGGGAACCATGTCTTGGATCGACGTGGCCCATTGAGGCAAAGAAATCCAGTCACAAAGCCAGAAAAGAAGCATAAGCGAAACAGCACGCTGGGCTCAAGAGAGAAATAGTCGCATGCTCCTTTATTTCCTATTCTTCACAAACCCCTCAACTCATCACATCATTTAGTTATCATCGCATATTTTCCAATTTACTGGGGCTTGTTGAGGTAGTCGACGAGGTTCTCGACAACGGTGGCCGCGTTGGGGGTCTGAACGCCCTCGGTGTGGTGGGCGATGATGGTGCAAGAGGAGGCACGGGCAATAATGACACCCTCCTTACCCTGTAACACAGACCAAATAGATTAGCATAGATTCAGATATGATGTATTTATAAAATTTCCGAGGTATTTGTGGGTCAGGGGGAACGGGTGTGCTTACCTTCTTGCCGTATACACTGCGCTCATCAGCCCGGATGGTGACGAACTTCTCACCGCAGACAGAGAAGCCACTGGCAAAGGCCTGGTCGCTAGAAGTGTAGGCGGTGATCAGGGAGTTAATCTCCTCCTGAGAGAGCTGTATTTCGACAAACCAATAACGTTAGCGACTGCGTCGAAGTCTGTGACCCCACCCCGCACGAGCAAAAACAATAGGCGAGCTTACCGCAAAGCCGGGCGAGCCAGCCTCAACACCGGAGAAGTCAGCGGCGAGGATACCGGCCTTGTCGAACTGACCCGAGCCCATCAGGCTGTAAGAAAGAAACTTGTCAGTATATGTATAGGGTAAACACGGTGAGATGTTTTGGTTTCGATGGGAAGAATGAGGGGCATATCAGGGGTCGAGGGGTGGTGATATGATGTACCTGGAGTCGACATAGCCTAATTTAAGGAGAAATCTCATGTTAGCGGACTCGAAAAAGCAAGGGATGAACTGTCAGTGTGCAGTCTGCAGTTCAAGATGATTCATACTTTGCCAGATTGCGGAGTGCTCGCCCATGATGACTGTAAAGAAGCTGAGAGAATAACGCTGGAGTTGATTGAGTTAGATGTCAGAGAAGAGAAGGAAGCAGAAATTTCAGCGCACACCTTTTGAATATACAGAAAAAGGAGAGCTGGGAGAGAAAGAGGAGTTAGTGGGGGGAAGAAGTTGTGGCGGTCGGGAGAGGACCCCGCCATATGACGATCCCACCGTTTGCAACTGACTTGGGATAACAAGCTTATGTTTATTGCTTGTGTCTATCTATTTGTTAATTTGATTTGAAATATACTATTCTTTTTCTTTCTACTAAGTAAGATATTATCATATCTGTGTGGGATGTGTAGTTGTGTGTATAGGATATCTGATACAATATAGTTATTCTCCAACTAGCGGTGGGAGATCCTACAATATACAAAGTAGCTTAACAACAACTTTTGGATGTGTCTATCTAAATCACATATGTCAAGGGTTATGTATGACATACATATAACATCCCGCTATCAGTCCAGTCCAGTCCAGTCAGCCCAGTCAGCTCAGTCACTTCCAAGGTTCATGTACCGTCGATCCTCACAGTTGCTGCCTGGGTGCCTTGATGCCTGAAGGCCTGAGCACCTGAGCACCTGACTTTTGGGTGCCTTGGTGCCTGAATATTTGAACTTCAAGGAGTCCTGATTTGACCGCTATTTGGAGATCCATCTTTTGTCTCGGGTAGTGTTTGGTTCACACCTTGAGACATGCCATTGGAACCAGAGATAGGCTTGGCGTCACATCGCACTGGCGACTCATAGTGCGAAGTCGGAGAATTCTTGACTTGACCGTGCACTGAATGTGGACATCCTTTCAATCAGAGCCAAATCCCCCCCTGATTAAAAGATAAAACGTATAATAACAACGCCCTGTCTCAGTTTCGGCCAGGTGAAACACGCCTCCTGCATGGCTTGGCCCTATCCAACGTGGTAGCGAGCTAATCAATCCGCGACCGCTGCGCTCATTCGTCGCACGGGAAATAAGCATCTCACACGGGCTCGATATTAGCGCTGAGACGCCCCTCGAATTCCAAAACCGAATTTCGTTGCAAGTGCTTGGGCTCCTTTCTCTCATGTTTCGTTGGTTCAGTCCCAGACTAGGTTGGCGCGTACCTCTAACAGATTTAGGATGGTGTTGAAATTAATTTGGTCTCATTTACACGGTCCGTCATTTCGATTGCTCCACTCAATTCATTTGCTTTTCATTAATATACTGGGCCATATCCTCATGTCTTGTGATTTCTTTTGATTTCTTTTGATTTTCTTGGATTTTCTTGGATTTTTGTTGGGCTTCTGGAAGGCCGTCTCTTCTTCTTAAAATCTGGGGGGCTTTTTTAATATCATTCTTTTACTTACTTTTCTACTTCTTTACACTCATTCTCTATCGCATGTGGGCTGGATTCCAATATAGTAGTACAAGATGGCAAGGGGTGTGACAGCAGTGCAGTCTCGCACGCGACCTACTAAGGATACCATCTCCTTTCCTATTTTGACCTATTCCGATGCCTTGCCACGAAACGACCTTCGCTCTCTTGAGGTCTCACAGCACCAAGCTCAACCCGCCATGGTTGGACAGTGGGACTTCAGTCAGCCCTCGACGGGAGACGGGTGGTTCAGAAAGCCACCCGCGGGCCAAGATGCATCTTTCGACTTTCGCATAACCACGCCACCAGATCAAGCCATTCAAACTACTCGATCGGGCCGCACCCAAACTGAGGAACACATGATTGGCATTGCGCTAGGCAGTCCCGGCCTGTTAACTAAAGACGAGCCTCTACCGCCACCCAGATTTGATCCATCCATCTTTGCAGAAGGCGATTCAGCCCATAAGCCCAGCAAGTGGAAGAAAATTGGTGGATTCTTCAAGGCGAAGAATGCGCTTACATCGCTCCCAGATAGCACACAAGAAAGTGAGGCCAAGCCGCAAAGCAACGACTATCAACTACCGGAGAAGCCGCAGAAAGCACGACTGAGAAAGGACTCGATTGAAGAGTGGCCGAAAATTGAAATCGATCCCAGGAACATGCCTGGCCGAAGCATCCAAGCTCCCCAGCGGAGTCGGACCCTTTCACTCGGCAGCAAGCCACCTAAGGTTACACCTACGGTTACACCAAGTGCCCAGGGCCTCCTACTGAGTGTCGATATCCCAGATGTTCAGATGGAGCGGTACAGTGTTATGTTCAGCGAGGTTGTCAAGAAGAATCAAAAGCCCTCACTGCTGGTCAGAAGGGCCAAGACATTGGACAATCTTCGCGTACCAGATGCAAATGTATGGACTTTCTTCGAGAAGAAACCAGTATGAGACTGACCGATACACTGATATAGGGCTTCATAAAACCACCCACACCACCCCCAATGCCCCAGCGCCGGGCAACATCGCCAGCGCAATCAAGCTTCACCCTATTTCCAACTTCACAGCCATCAAAAGCGGCCCAGGTGCTCAGCACACAGAATTTCTCCCGTGGACCGCTGGTGAGAGCAAACACGCTCCCTGTCCAAAGCCCATCCAAGATGCCTCCGCCACAGCTCCATCATGGCTCAAATACGGGCAGTCAATCATCGTTCGAGTCGCCAGTCATTCCGAAGCTTTTCACTGAGCTTTCCAATACTCCACGGTCCTCTAATAGTTATGACAAGCCTCTTCCTGCTATCAACCTGGAGCCACGGACTACGCCTACTCCATTAAAGAAGAGTGCTCAACCGGAAAAGAAAACTCCATCTCCGCAGAAAACCCGACCACAGCAGAGCGTCCAATCTCACAATACTGCTGCAACAACACCGGCTGCTCAACCCCAGATCCACCCACAGCAGAGAAAGGATTCGCTACCGCGATTCATAGAAAAGCAGCCTCAGATTACTTCACCACAACACAAGACCACCCAAAACCAGCCCAATCAAGCACCGAACCATCGGAGAAACAACGATTCAGTGCGGCCACGTCTCAGAGTTGAAACAGAAAGCCGACGGCAACCACCGACAAAGGGCATACTATCACCCAGTACATCAAGAGGCTCACCTTCGGCATTGAACGCGACGCAAAGCAAGATTGACCGAATCATGTCCCCATTATCCGCCTCAGCCGGTCCTAAATCCGGCGTATCACCAGCAGAGTCCACGCGCATGCCATTCGCCGATGCCGTTGAGACCCTTGATGCCGCTGAAGAGGAACATATACCCGAGCCTAGACGTCCCATCCCAAAAGTTGAAATCTCAATAGCACGCTCTGTCTCTGTCTCGCGGGCAAAGCGACAGGTTCTAGTTCCCATCGGCATGAGGGTCGATCATTTAGACCCGGAGGAGCGGGTTGTGCACAGAAGACCTATGACACCGCAGATTACAGATGCTCACCGCGGGCATCGACCTGGTGTCTCGCAGGAGTTGCGGATAGAGTGTCTGTGACATTCTACTGTGCTTTTTTTTTTTCTTCTTTCCTGTTTCTTAGCTTTTCTTTTTCTACCTGATTCCCCTTTGCCACCTCTCATATTTTTTTCCATACAGAACTTTCGTTCTCTACATATGGTCTTCATACTTATATATCATTTTAATCCATGCCTTGGATGGCTCACATTATTTATGGCCGGCGTTTTATTCTTAGTCTGCGACATCTCGCAGGCACTTGTTGTAGAACACGTAGACTAAACAGAGCACGTAGGCCTATTATTGTAAAACCTCGCTTAATCACAGCTCTAAATGATGAGATTACATCAAATAACTGCCACATCGTCAATTCTTTGTATCTTGTCCCTACCCCTGTCCCTACGCCTGTCCTTTTGAGGCATGAGTCACAGGCGATGCATCCATGTACCCTTTGTTGTCATCGGAAGCGACGACACACCCCGCTCCTGTCGAGGAGGCTACTTTTTGGAAATGGGCATTTTCTTCCACCACATTCTGCGCGGCCTGGGATTCTCCTTGTACATGACGGGTGGTCGAAGCCGGGATCGGATAGATGGTATACCGGAAGGGGAGTTCATGGGATGGTAAGAAGAACCAGTGACCACAAAGGCATGCATTATATCAACAGGGAAAGATGACTAACCAGTGAGACTAGGGCACACATGGTCAACATCGTCCGTCTACCTAGCGGCATAGAGTATTATCTGGACGCAGCGTTCGGCGGAAACGGGCCAACAAGTCCCCTGCCGCTGATCTCGGGGCAGGTAACGAAGAACCTGGGCTCGCAGGAGGTGCGACTAATTTACGACAATCTACCGAAGCAGACACGCAAAGAGCAGAAGGTATGGATATACCAATGTCGCTATGCCGCGGATAAGCCATGGAATTCGTTCACTTCGTTTGCGGAACTGGAGTTTTTCCAGGGTGATTTTGAAGTGATGAACCGGTTCACGAGTTGGGAAGCTGTGGAAAAACACAGATTCGTTGTGGTCAAGTTTATTCGAAATGGAGAAACGGCGGGACTGCCTTTGTTGGAGGGAGAGGGGTTGGAGAAGAGTGGTGATGTTTTCGTTGCTGGGAAGATTATGATGGATAACAACGTCGTCAAGTTGAATATGGGTGGGAGAACGAGGGTCATTGATTCATTTGAAACCGAGGAGGGGAGGTTTGAAGCGCTGAAGAAGTGGTTTTCTATTTATTTAGGATGACTGGGGGTCCATGTATGTATGTATTTACGCAAATCTATCGGTCAATATGTAGTTCAAGCATCCACTTTTAGTTCTTGGTAGGAACGCTGGACTCTTCCACCGTCTGCGTCTCGATCCCAGTATCCAAACTAACCTCGACATTGGAGACAGTCCATGCCATCCCAACGTAGGAGTCACTGATAACTCTGATATTCACCCGAGCTGTGCTGGTGCTCGTGGATTCAGCGAGGATGCCTTCGGGGAATTTAACGTTGGAGCGAACAGTCAACAGGCTGCCCTTGTTATCGTTGGCAGGTCCTCCACGGCTGGAACCAGCACCGGAATTTCCCTTGCCCTTGCCGTTACCATTGCCATTGCCATTGCCATTGCGCTTAGATACTGGTGGCCAAGACACACGCTTCAGGCCAAGCAATTCACCATCCATACCATTGGGCAGAGCACTGCAAACAATCAAGAAGAAGCCCTCAGTTTGTGGCTTGGGGAATCGAGGGGTGTGGACCTTGCAGTCGGGGGTTGTGGGCTGGTTACGCCGTGTCAGAGACACAGCAATACCCTTAGCAGAAACACTCGCAACCGAGACCGACAGCTGAGGCAACTGGGACGTGATACGAGTAAAGTTAAATGGAAGGTTTAATCTCTTGACCAGAGCGACGATTGCACCAGCAGGTTGTGATGAGAGCGACACAAGTGTACCCGGGAGACCACTGGGTGGCTTCTCGGTCGGAACGCCTGGCAGAATCGACAACGGGTGGTCTTCAGGCCAGCGCGCTGACTTGATGCATTGGAGGAGAGTCATGAGCATCTGACACGCAGGAATATATCCGAGTTCAGCCATAACATCGATTGAGGCCTGGATAACACGAATTCCTTGATCGAGCACAGATGTCTGATCACCAACATAATCAGTAATGGGAAGATCGATCCGCGACATGTAGGCCTGCAGGAGGAGGAACGCTTTCGTATGCGGGTCCCAGAGGGGCGCATCGCCCATGCAGTCAATAGAAAGCGGCAAGTTCTGGGCCAACTCAGCATTTATCAAATCTTCATTGTGTCTGACGGGCAGCTCGTCGAATTCGGTTGCGGAACACATCCAGCTCAAAACATCCTGGAAGGTCGGATCACGCTTAGCATGTGACACAAGGAACCGGATCGTCTTGTGCGATAGGTAGTAGTAACTCATGATTTTGCCGAAGGGAGTAGAGTCGACCTCTCCGGTGGCCGAGTCCACGAGAACACAGGACGATTCTGCGAGATCATTGAGCGACTTCCCAACCAATTCAACCATGAAATCTTGAGCTGTGGCCTGGGCTGCCATAGTGTTTTGGTCCTCCGCAGAAATCTCGAGGCCGTAGTATGAGGGGTTCTTATGCAAGCGACGGAAGAAGAATGTCCAGGTCAAGTAGTCCAGTGCATCTTGTTGCGTCCCAATAGTTCCAGCGGATACCTCAGCGCCAAGATGGTTGTCGAGAACCTTGTGCAGGGTAGACTCGACGGGGAAACCGGTGTGGAGGAAGTGCTTGTAGAAAGCCTTCTTTGAGTCCTGGGTGAAGATGCGCGCAATACCGGATGTGTCGAACTGCGGGCGACCGGCACGACCGAGCATTTGCAAAACATCGGTCAAATCCATGTCCCGATAACCTTCGATCTTAGCGTCAAAGAACTGTGTGCCTTTGACCACTACAAGATGCGCCGGAAGGTTAACACCCCACGCAAGAGTACTAGTCGCCACAAGAACTTGGATCTTGTTGTTGGCGAATAGTTCTTCAGCCAGCTGGCGATCAGATTCAACCAAACCAGCATGATGCAGACCAATACCGAAGTTAAGGGCTTCTCTTAAGGCATCATCTTTCACTCGCGCGAGGTTCAACTCCAGATCATCTTCAGACATTCGCACAAATCGACGAGGATTGTCCTCCATGCCGCAGTAATTGATCAAATCCTTAGCAGTCAGACGAGTTTGTCGACGAGAAGGAACGAAGACAATGACTGGCTTCTCTGGTGAGTGGTTCTTGATCGCGAGGAAAGTTGGGCGATTCATTGACTGCATCAAGGGACAGAAACCACGCTGTTCAGGGAACCCATCGATGAAAATTTCGAGGGGAACCGGGCGAACTGAATGACGGAAGTTGTATAGGCCTTCTTTGACACCAAGCCAGTTTGCCAGATCAGAAGCATTGGCACAGGCGGTGGACATACCCATCAGTCGAACGGATCCTTTGGATTGGGAAGCGATATAGTTCATTCGGGAAACAATGATTTCCAAAATGGGACCTCGATCACCACCGAGCAAGTGAATTTCGTCAATAATCACGAGACTCACTTTTCTAACGTAGTCACGGGTCTGCCAACTACGTGAGATACCATCCCATTTCTCAGGTGTGGTGATAATGATATCAGCATCCCGAATCGTACGTGTGTCAGGTGTATTGTCACCGGTCAACTCAACAAGCTTCAAACCCATCTGCCTGGTGAGACGCTTACGCCAATCTTGAACTCGTTCACGGACCAAGGCCTTCATCGGTGCAATGTAGACAACCTTGGAGCCGGGCTTCTCACGGAAAGCCCACCACATCGCCAGCTCAGCGGCTACAGTTTTTCCACTACCAGTTGGAGAACCAAGGAGAACGTTGGCTGGTGTGTGGTAAAGGAGATGGAAGATCTGAGTTTGCATAGGGTTGAAGAATTGGAAGCGTTGTCCATACACTTCCTCAAGAATGGGATTCTTAAGAGCTGATATAGGAAGTGGTTGGAGATTGAGTAGATCAGTATACACGCTTTCAGTGTCTGGGCGAATGAGGTGCTGGAAAGAAACCGGGCTGACTGTTTCAGCACCCAGCCAGCGATCAGAGATCACACGAATGTAGATTTGGCTGGGAAGCGGATCAGACAGCGGAATAGTGAAGTTGAGCTCATGATCGGCATAAAGCTTCTTACGGCTTAGGATGAAGTAGTCGTGATGATAGATTTCTGATGTTTCCGAGTTCTCAACCCAAACCCAGAAGGATTCGGATGCTCCGTGGTGACGATCATTCCAGGTAAACTCGGGGTAGATGGAAAGGCGAATACGAAGCACGTCGCGGTTAAGCGGCGCAATCTCGGTCTCAACACTCAAAGTTGGGAAGTTGTCGAGGAGCTTGGATAATGTGTTGCCCATGCGGTGGTTATGAACAAGCTGACCAATCTCCGCAGGCTCCATTTCTTTCATCGACTCGATGGAAGTAGTTGGAAGCTTTTCGTCAAGGTTACGCAAGACTGGCTGGGGCAAGTCGAACTGACGGAAAGGGTGATCAAACGGCCAGATCTGTTTCTCAATGGACTTGCAAAGAGACAACAGAACCTGGCATTGATAGCCCCAGCGACGATTCAGCGCAATCATGAAGAGAGCACGGCAGATACGCGCCGCGTTTTGGGCAACATAACCAGTATCGGAGGCTAGAGCAAAGTCCTCAATCTTGGCGCGAGAGATATAGGCTTGCAGCAAGAGGTTGGTCTTTGCATGTGGCGTGTCGTTTCCTCCGGCAACTTCAGTCTGAGCAACTTCGTCGCGCAGTCGCTGAAGCTCTTTCGACTCGCTATCTCTAGATTGGATGTTGTCGAATTCTCCACTCATGCTGATCATCTTGAGTACATCTGCTTCACCAGATCGGGGACGCATCATGTCGTTGAAAATCTCGACACTGGTTTGCAATACATAGTATTGACTCGCAATGCGACCAACATCCTTGGCTTTGAGGTCCTCGGTCTTGTCGTTGAAGATGATCATCTGACTCTTCTGTAGCACCCGTGCTGCTTGTAAGATCAACTGCCTCCGCCTTTGGACCAGCATTGGGTCATCGCGTAACTCGGCAAACTCGATTCCATAGTTTCTCGGCTCACGTTTCATGCGCACATAGAGGTAGGAGTAGCCAAGCCATTGCACAGCCTCTGAAACAGATGTGACTGTTCCAAGAGAGATTTCAGCGTTCAAGTTATCCACGAGTCGACTAGAGAAGCGCGACTCAATGGGCTGCTGCGCAGTCACAGCAGATAGGTAATGGCTCAACTTGTCATGAGTAGTACAGATAAATCCGATACCGGTGTCCTGGAACTGCGGACGACCTGCACGACCAAAGATTTGCATGACATCAAGAATGCTCAGGTCAATGAATTTACCCTCTTGGGGATTATACAATTGAGTACCTTTGATGACAACTGCGGCTGCGGGAAGATTGACACCCCAAGCCAAGGTTGCAGTACAGCAAAGCACCTTGATTAGACCTTCTGAGAACATTCGCTCCATCAGATTGCGGTCGCTTCGAGTCATTCCGGCATGATGGACTCCAAAGCCACTAGCGAAGAGGTCACGCAGTTCACGCGCACGCGCATGCTTCATGTCACGAAGGGCATTGGAATAGTTTTCGTGATCATGGCAGCTGAATAAGTCCTCGCGGCCCTCCTCCGCAGCTAGCTGCATAAGCATCCTAGCAGTCATTACGGTATCTTTGCGCGAGTGGACGAAAACCATGACTTGGTGACCCCTTTCCATCATGTCGCGAACCTTCTCATAGGCGACAGAGTCAATGTTGTCACGGGATTGCTTGGAGCCGGGCTTTCCTTTGACACCGATGAAGTGTTGTTCAAGAGGTACAGGTCGGAAAGACTGATCGAAGAAGAACATGCCGGCCATTTTGTTCACTTTCAGGAAGTCCGCCACATCAGTATAGTTCGGAAGGGTGGCCGATAGACCAACAATGCGAATCAGTGACTGTGTGCTTTCGACCTGACGTTGGGTTCGAGCAACCAAAGATTCGATGACCGCTCCTCGCTCATCGTGTAACATATGAACTTCATCAATAATGAGAAGGCGGACCTTCTGAACAAGCTCTGTGTCTCCAGTACTTTTACGCGTCACGACATCCCATTTCTCAGGGGTAGTAACGATGATCTGGGTCTCAACAATCTCTCGCTTCGTCAACTGCATATCACCAGTCAATTCGCGGACCTTGATCCCCAACCAGGCTAAACGTTTTCCGAGTTTCTCCGTCACCTCAGCAGCCAAGGCCTTCATAGGAGCAACATAGACAATCTTAAAGTCGTCAACTTGGACAGTGAATTCGGTCGCTTCCGGGTTTTCCAACGGATTGGGAGATGTGTTCTTTCCCACAGCATTGAGAACAGTTAACATGGCGGCATCCGTTTTACCCGCGCCAGTCGGCGCGCAAATAAGCATATTTTCGTTGGTTTTGTACGCAACATCGTAGAGTAAGCTTTGCATACGATTGAGGGCTTTGTAGCCCTTAAAGGTACCCCGACAAAGACCATCCATTTCAGCGATCTCCACCAGTTTCCGGCCTTTCCCAAGTGTTCCGACCTTCGACGCCGGGATCGCGAATTCAGTGTACTTCGGTTCCTCAATCTGCTCGCTACCCAGAGGCAGCCCATATTTCTTTCCGCTAGCTGAAAGTGTATTTCCGGAGGTGTGTTGCTTGAACACATGGGGGTAGGATGGTTCGGATCGGGTTTGGGCCGGCATCAATGCTGCATTCTTGTGTTCGAAGTCCCGTTGTTGCAGAGCATGTTCCCTCTCTGCTCGTGTTTGGAGTTTACCTGCCATGAGCCCATCTGTTTGGGATTCCAGGCGAGGTCCCTTGTCCAACAGAATTTCTCCTCGGTGCGCAATCAGCTCAATCACCAGATCCAGGTCATCAAATCCAACAACCTCTGCCAAAGACATTTGTAGCTCTTCGTCGTTGCTGTCAGCAGCCAGGGTGGCGATGACTTGCTGAGCAAGCTCTGTCGCGTCCATAGTTGAGTTTCGCATGGCCAAATCCTGACACTTGTCTTCTAGCCAGAACCGATTGTAGGAAGACCCTGGTGCGAGATGAAGTCCGTCGAGCCCATCCAAGTCGTCCAGGTCGTCAGAAGTTTCATCATCCGAGCTGATGATATCCCAGACATCATCATTTGTTCCCGGGGACGAGTAGTCGTCGTCAATATCCAGATCAATATCGCTTCCATAGCTGATTGATTGCTGAGGAAGGTCTTGGGGGAGCTTCAGATCGGCAATAGCCTGACGCATGGCTGCTAGTTGTGACAGCCATTGTGACTCGGTAGCCGCGATGCTGTCCATTTTGACAGATATAACTGTTTAGTTGACCTAATGATCAAGAAGTGATAAGCCAAGCAACAAAGAATGCAGTTAATGAGGGGATAAGCTGAGCCAAAAGTAGTTATAGGGCAGGCCCGCAGGGCTCAGTCGGTCGCATGACAAGAGCGGTGTAATTCTTGTGCCTCAGGCCACAATGCAGAGGGTCGAGTGCATCATTGTTATCGGCAACTCAGGAGCCAGTTTTAGGCTTAACACTTGTCACTCTGCTTCGCCACTTCAGTTAATCATACGGCTGACCTCCTGCGATAAAGAAATTGTCTGGTTCTTTGACACCAGAGCATTTCCTTGATCAGCACCTACTACGACCCAACGCCCCACTACCCCCCGACACCTACTTGCCTCCCTGTCCTTGTGCGGACAACCACGCTGTCACCATGAAGATTCTTTATATGGGCGTATGTTTCATTGCGGCTTGTATTTGATTGAGTACAGGCTTAGATATGGTGCTTATCTATCAATTTGGCAGGTTTTCCGGAACGACACCCGGCCAGCTCTCCAGCTATGCGGGGAAAAGGACCTCAGCAGGTAGATTCATACGCGCGCCCTGCAACTGACTAGAACATTTCGCTAATTATTACTAGCTTTTCGCGCTTTACTCGTCAGAAGTATGCCTACCCATCCTCCCCCGGTCCGACATGGCTAGGTCACTAACCGCCAAGCGCTTAACAGCTACGATGAATTCTTGATGCTCTTCACCCGAACGGTCGCCGAAAGGACAAAGCCAGGCCAACGGCAGGATATTGAAGAGAAGGCCTACACATTCCATGCTTACGGACGGACAGAGGGTGTTTCCGGTGTGATTATGACAGATGGGGACTACCCTGCCCTAGTGGCCCACCAGCTTTTGGGCAAGATCGTGGACGAATTCCTTGCCAAATACCCACGCACTGCCTTCTCCGACCCCTCTTTGCGCGAGAATGCATGCCCCTTGCCGCAGCTCAAGGAATATATCGTCAAGTACCAGGACCCAGGCCAGGCCGATAGCATCATGAAGATCCAGCAAGAGCTCGACGAAACCAAAATTGTCCTGCACAAGACGGTATGCTCTTATGCTTGTATAAGCTCATTCTACATGCTAACTATTCCCAGATCGAAAGTGTTCTGGAGCGCGGTGAGAAGATTGACTCCCTAGTTCAGAAGAGTGATGGGCTGTCAGCTCAGAGCAAGATGTTCTATACCCAGGTATGCAAATTGAATTTTCTCTTCGCTTGAATATACTAACGCAAACAAATCTAGGCCAAGAAGCAAAACTCTTGCTGTGTTCTGATGTGAACCGGTATTATCGATACACGGTGTATTCGATTATGACTCCTTGTTCTTGGATTTAACTTATTCGTGTAATCAGAGCTGAAACGATGCATTCTTTGACTATTGTATTTGCTCTCATTTTTCAATGCCTATATGCCTTTCCCGAGCTTTCTCAATTAAGAGGACATATTTGACTGTTTTGTTCTTCTGTCGAGTCTTTTGCCATAGACCTTGGCAGGATCCTATTAACTGGGAGTGTTTCTGAGTAAATTCTAGAAAACGGGCCACTAGAAGCTAGTATTATAGCGGCAAAAAGTCGTGGAGTATGAACAATGACAACCATAAGTAGATCGCGATCTAGTATAGCAGAGCCTAAGACTATCTGGCCGCACTTTCCCTCTTAGAGAATTTTTTCGTCAATCCAGTTCTATTGCCAGATAATTCCTTCTCTTTAAACTGCACCCCATGGTAGTTCAGCTGATAACGGACGAAACCGAGATTATCCCTGAATTCCTATGGCCATTCGGGTGACAATTTTCAGTAAAAACAGGTCGTCCACAGACATCCATGGATGGCACGAGTTCACCAAAGTACATCATATCACGATTATCCAATTGGCTTGACCCGGGTCGTATCGAAATGACAGTTGAAATTGCTCCCGTGTCAATGAGTCTCCGGTTTCCTCCTTGTAATTTGTCTGTCATGCCTCCCTTTTCAAAACGCCATAGCTTCTGAACCATGGTCCCATTTCTAGGCGTAGCTTCCTTTTGATACCTTCATTTGGGTAGAAAAATCAATTAGATACGCTTTGTAAATATATATTTATGTACTATAGGTTGTATACCTGCCTCAGAATATATATCTAATAGATGAACACTTCTTCTAGTGATACCAAGCCTAATAGAACCCGTTGCTACGTGCCCAGATTGAATATTCATACGATTCGAGGCTCGTGATAGTAGATCACCAAAGAAATAAAGCCTAGCGGTGATGTGGTTCTGTTGTACATACATATAGGTTATGTATGTTGTACTCCGTATATATGTCTAAGACCTCGGGAGCTCCCGAGTGATTGGTGAATTTGTCACAAGCTAGCTTAATTAGGTTAGCTTACTAGTGACCCACATCGGACTAACCTTAAAATGTGTCAAAGCATTTGTCTCTGCGTTCAACTTTTCATTCTCATATTCTGTTCAAATCTCCTGTTTTGTTTGACACATCACCATGAAGATTGCCATAATTGGTGCTGGAATTGCCGGATGTGCAGCTTACCTGGAGCTGCAAAAGCACCTCCCACAGCCCAGCAAGTCCGATGAATCACATGAGGTCATTATCTATGAGGCATACAATACAAGCCCGAGTATCACAGCCAATGAAAGAAAAGAAGATCACACGCATTCCTCTACATTAATTGTTGGGGGTGGACTAGGTGTTGCCCCCAATGGCTTGAACGTTCTGAAACGCCTTGATAAAGAGCTCCTTAAGGACGTTGTCCGCGGGGGGTATGTTACAGCGATTTCCAACATGAAAAACAAAAATGGCTGGCCCCTTTTCTCGATGAATAGTGCCTCTTTGGATGACAACACCAACAATAATAACAACAGACCCCCCCACATGCTCGCGACTAGTCGCCACTCGCTTTGGACTGCATTGCGGGGACGAATCCCAGACCACCATATCATCCATAAGAGAGTAACTCAAGTTATTGCCCGATCAGATGGAAGGAATTCGATTCGCTTTGCCGACAACAGCCCTATTGTGGAAGCTGATCTGGTTATCGGTGCAGACGGTGTCCGAGGTATTGCGAAGCGAGCACTTTTCCCAGATGCTAAAGAGGATCCATACCCCCCGCACTATGAGTAAGTGAGCGCTGAAAAAAAATCTTTGATCGGGTCATCAACTATATTTTGTGTGATCTCGTAATTAACTGTGCGACAGAGGTCTCGTCGGGGTTGGGGGCTTCATCCCTGCCGCAGATGTAAAAGACCTTGTCGAACCGGGGTCTATGAATTTTGTGTTTGGTGGAAATGGGTTCTTCGGATACTTCTTTTCGGAAAGCTCAGTGTCTGCTGGTAAGCGGGACTCGCCTTATCACGTCTCCGAGCCAGGAGACTCCCTTGCTTGGTGGTCAACCTACGAGATCGAAGAATGTCCTGATCGCAAAACACTCGACATGGTCGACGTGACTCGGCAGCTGCGTGAAAGACATGCTTATTGGAAGGAGCCTGTTGTTAAAAAAGTGATCCAATCACTTCAGGTTGAAAACATGTATCCAACGTGGACTTTACCTGCACTTCCAACATGGGAGCGAGATGGTGTCGTTCTCGTTGGAGATGCAGCACATGCGCTCCCTTCAAGCTCCGGTCAAGGTTCGTCTCAAGCATTGGAGGATGTTGAAGCTCTTGCTTTGTTTTTGGCTCATTACCTTCATGCACTCCCGGACGAGGTAACGCCAAAGGCCCAGAAGAATGCGATCAAAGCAGCCGCCTCGCAGTATGTGAGTTTGCGCCAGCCGCACGTTAACGCAATTTTGGAATCTGCCCAAAAGACCCAGAATAGCAAGCGTGAAATGGGGATACTTAAAGAGTATTCTATGTATGCCATGATGAAAATAATGGGTGAGAGCTTTCTTGATACCTTCCAGTAGTAGTGTTGACTAACGGCTACCACAGGACTATTCCCTGGTTTTTTGGCCAACCAAATTCGCGCGGCGGCGGAATATAACATTGCAGATGATGTTGCGCGAATAATAGCCAGTGATGACTGAAGGCAGCCACGGAGATCTCCGTGACTTGCACTGGGATAAGTAGAACAGCACGGCATTTCTACATGTCGGTTGAAGGCAAGGGGCTCCCCCAGTCTAGAAGGTCGTGTCACACAAGCTTTCGGACCCCGTGTTCTGGAAACTGTTCAATACACCGATCCCCGATGAAATGCTATCTTTTGATAGGAGTTTCTAGTTGAGATGCTGGTGACTATGGCTACCTATGGCGTGACAACGACACAAGTACGCTTGATCCATATCAAGTATTTCTATTTCTAAAAGCTGTCGGCATTTATTTCCTCTTCAGATAGGGACGTACCGCCAATCTCCAGCGCCCGGGCAATTTAACGAGTAGTTCATGTGTATCTTTTCATTTCCCTGAAAGCATATTGGTGCATGATAAGGGTCAGCCGTTCACGGCAGCCCAGTGGAATAGTGCCATCCGGGGTTTCAGCCAGACACGTCAGCAACAGAAGGGTTCCTTCTCGAAGACGCCTCATAATGATGGCGCACGGTATGCACATCTGAGCTGCTTCAATTCAATCTAAATCCCGTTTGAATTTTCCGTTTGGTTCGGATTTCTATACGAACTATTTTGTCTGCGCGATAATGGAGATTGGCTTCGAGACTCCAGGAAGCAAGACATGCATCTCAACTCCACTCTCGCCACTTTCGAATGTTTGGGAGTAAATGCGTGCTTATCTGGGGGCTTAGCACTGACATGCAACTAGTTTTGCCCCGTGTCCCCAGAAAAGAGGAGCTAATTCTAAGCAAGGAAAATGGAGATAGCGAATCACCCGCAGAATAGGGGGGAAGATCATGTGTGTTGCCAAGAGTAGCGTCTCAGCTAAGCTCAAACAATATATCTGGGCTCTCATCCTGATTGGCCACGATTGCCCATATCAAGATCAAAGTTACAAGTACAACCTTGCAAAAAGTCTTATCTTCGCCCTGCCGTCTGACCGTCTGATCGAGTCTAAAGAACCCGCCTAAGCACGCCACATGCTACTGCGCAATCCATCTCAATGCCTTGCTTATCACAGATGAAATGCAAGTTAACCGGGTATCTGCGCTAGGCTTTTATATAAATTGCTACTCGTCGTCGATTAATTTTCTTGCCTAGTGCATTGGTGTGAAATCCAAAAACATGACCGCCATGGACTCCGACGTCGAGAAGAAAGCAGACACTACCGTGGAGCCGGCTGAAAGTCTCCCTTCAGCTCACGATGATTTGGCGGTCGGCGAAATCAACCCGCTGAAGCGGAATCTGAAGAACCGTCATATGCAGATGATCGCTCTTGGTATGCGTCCATTGACAGTTCCTCCTTTGCTTCTGATACTAATTTCAACAAGGTGGCGCTATTGGAGCTGGTCTTTTCGTTAGTACGGGGTCTGCTCTCCGCGAGGGCGGGCCTGGTTCTTTGCTACTATGCTATTTGATCGTTGGAGGAATGCTCCTTCTTACAATTCAAGCCCTGGGTGAATTGGCCGTGCTATATCCCGTGAATGGAGCCTTTTTCACATACTGTGTCCGGTTCATTAGTCCAGCCTGGTGAGTTTTCCATGTTCATATACTCCACTCATGATCAATCAAAACTGACTTCTCGTCTTATAATAGGGGATTCGCGGTCGGCTGGGATTACGCTATCGGATGGCTCATTATCCTCCCCTTCGAACTCACAGCTGCGAGTTTAACAATCAAGTACTGGAGTGAAACTTTGAACAGTGGAATTTGGGTGGCAGTGTTTCTAGTCGTCCTAACAGCGATCCAGTTCTTTGGTGTTCGAGGCTACGGAGAAGGTGACACAGCATTTATATATCTTTTCGCGATACATTGATACTAACGTCGGCCTATAGTCGAATTTGTACTAGGAATGATCAAGGTCACTGCTGTACTTGGTTTCATCATCCTCGGAATTGTGATCGATTGCGGCGGAGCTCCGAACGGAGGCTACATTGGAGCTCATTACTGGAGAGACCCTGGTGCATTCACAGACTTCAAGGGATTTTGTTCAGTCTTTGTGACAGCAGCCTTTGCCTTCGGTGGCACAGAAATGGCTGGTCTTGCTGCTGCAGAGGCGGCAAATCCTGCCAAGTCCATCCCCAAAGCATCCAAGCAGGTCTTCTGGCGCATCATGGTGTTCTATGTTCTAGGAACATTTATAGTCGGCTTGATTGTGCCTTCCAATGCTGACTGGCTTCTTGGAGCATCTGGCGCCAACACCAAAGCTTCTCCATTTGTTGTGTCAATCCAGAATGCCGGTATCTCTGGGCTGCCCTCTGTCATGAATGCAATCATCACTATTTCGGTCATTAGTGTGGCCAACTCCGCGACATATGGCTCAAGCCGCACTATCCAGGCTCTGGCCTCACGAGGAATGGCACCGAGATTCATGGCCTATATTGACAAGGCGGGTCGGCCTCTTTACTGTATTATTCTGCAGATTGCTTTTGGTTTGCTCGCCTTCATCAATGAGGCACCATCTGGAAGCACCATCTTTGACTGGCTTCTTGCCTTGTCTGGTATTTCTGACTTTTTCATCTGGGGAAGTATCTGCCTTGCCCATATCCGCTTCCGTTCCGCGTGGGCACACAATGGGCACACCGTACAGGAGCTTGCTTTTGCCGCTCCCTTTGGTGTGATTGGGAGCTATATCGGCCTGGGTCTCAACATCTTGTGCCTCATCGCGGAATTTTATGTCTCTGTGGCTACAAAAGATGCAGAGAGCTTTTTCATGAACTACATTGCTGCACCGCTTGTGATCCTACTTTTCGCCATCTGGGTTATTTACAGCAAGTTCAGCAAAGACCCCAAAATCGACCGTGGAGGTTGGTTTATTCCAATTGACAAGATGGACGTCCACAGCTTTATGAGGGACTCTGCTCTCGATGTAGACCTTCCACCAAGAGTCGAGTATCCCACTTGGGGTGCTTGGTTCAAAGCTGCCCCTATGCGTCTACTCCGCTCAATATTCTGAGAGAATGTAAGGGGTTTATATACTTGCAATTGAAATTGAAATTCCTTCAACGATATGAAGCTAGGTCTTTTTGTACCCCAAGTTTGACGTAGTTTTCAACATAGCTGTACGTAGTACCACTGTAATAAATTTTAGGTCACGGTCGCGATGTCCCTGGCCACTTTATTAGCCCTGGAGGGCACTCAAAGTATTAGTAATCACCATGCATCTCCAGGGCTGTATTTTGGAGGAATGTGGGACTTTTATGTATATTTAGAGGTAGATGGCATCTCGCAATCAAGGATCAATGTCAAAAACAGCAATATCTAAGTGCAAATACAAGAAATCTTAGGAGGCAACCCGAACTCCCTGCGGATTGTGGAATATATCCTTTGGATCTAAGTCTCGCTTGAGCTCTTCCAATCTTGGATAATTATTGCGCCAGTATGCCCTCTGGGCATCGGGCATTTTAGGATCTGGACATCCTAGATATGCATGTCCCGCACTCTCTGGCACTCCCCGAGCCAGAATATTATAAAGACCATCAGTAAAACCATATGTGGTCTGCGAGATCGGACCAAGGGGGTTGACTACGAAGATCTGGACCCAGAAAAGCACATCGCGGTGGCCATAGGCTGTGGCATTTTTGGGCACGGCGTTGATAGCTCCACCCTCTAGACTGAGCATGACAGACCAGGCCAAAGTGCCGGCATTGGCTTTGTGGATGTAATCGAAAAATTCGTCGATGGTGGAGTCAAAAATCAGCGTGTTGGGGGTAAATCCGAGTGACTTAGCGTAAAACCAAGTCGGGGAGTCTCCGATCAGTCTCAGGATAGTATCTTCCAGTGCATGCCCGATCATCCCCAGCCAATTTGTAATAACTAGCACAGTACCCGGCTCGCTGGTAGGGAATTTCTTCTCCAGGTTGAGCTTGTCGTACTCCTCTTTTGAGCCGAAGAAAATACCTTCGAGGATGATCTGGCCGTCGAAGATGATCAGATTGGAGGAGAACTTCCAGGTGAGGTTCTCCTGGGCTATATATGCCTGCCAATCCTTGGCGAGCTTCGCCTTCTCGGCGGGAGTTCCAAGATTGAACGAGTATGAATATCGAACTGCCAGGCCAGGTGCCTCCTCCGTGCGAACTTTGAACTCTGTAACGATCCCAAAGCTAGCAGCAGCGCCTTTAATTGCGAAGAGAACATCCTGGTTCTGAGTATCCGATGCCCGCACAACACTCGAGTTCGCCAAAACCACCTCGACTTCCTCCACATGGTCAAGCGCTAGACCCCACTGGCGCGATGTTGGGCCCAGTCCGCCCACAGTTAGGTGGCCACCTGTCCGAATTGAAGGACAGATACCGTGTGCCATTGCTCTGTTGCCCGCATTGTAAAGCTCGGTGTCAAGGTTGCCTAGAGTTGTTCCGGGACCGATAGTAGCGATGAATGTTGACTCGTCCATAGAAAATTGCGAGAAGTGCTTCATATCGATCACAATGGCACCGTTTTGTCCCCCAAGGCCTAGAACCAATTAGCGAACTAAATGTCTGGGCAGCCGAACTACCATCATCATCTATCATACCAAAGTTGCCGAAACTATGGCCTCCACTGCGAGCCTGCACTTTGTAGTCATAGTCGGAGGCACATTTAACTATAGCAGCTACCTCGTTTGCTGATTGGGGGTATGTGACTGCCGCCGGGGTTACCGGAACATTCAAGTTGTATGGCTTGACTGCGCTAGTCTGGTAAAGAAGCGTGTCTTGGAATGCGACATGAGCCGCAACACCCCCGACGGCGGAAGTCAGACAGTCACGTACGACACCAATGCTGGTGGTGTTGCCCATACTAAAAATCCCAAGCAACAGAAGTGGTACGTGAGAAATACGAAAAAAAGAGATGCCCCCACGCACATTTAGGCCCGAAGGCCCCTTGATGTTGTCAGCTAGCATGGGTCATCCCCGGGTCCTTGCCGGTCTGCATATTTCTCATATGCCATGCATTCCCTCTGCACGGAATAGGAAATATGTCAATGTAGATCATGCCGATCAGTTTGCGCTAGTGATATATTAAGTATGCGGTACTATTTTTCCATAATAGATGCATCCTGCAAAGTAGAACTTAATTGAAAATTAGCTTAGGCTTAGCAGAACCACATGACAGAATTCCTACCGATGGGGGAGTCTGCATGGTTTGGCTTTGAAGCTGCGTTTGAGTTGATTTTGTTGACACATATAGGATAAAAGGCCTGGACACTTGCTCATTTCCATTCTTGATCTACACTCACAGTTCCCCACCGTTCATAGATTTACTGTTGTCCGCCCGCTTAGGAAGATTGGAAAAGGACAATTCTGCGATGCTTAAGTGCAGGGCTGCTGGGCCCTGCAATGTTGATGCTTATGTAATAATAGGGGGCGTCCATGGATGGACCTCGGGATGCTCCCGAGGTCCCGAGGTCAGTTGTAAAAGCGGCAAGGGAGACACTAAAGTGGAAAGTTCGATATTTCCCACAATGTTATGCGCGGTATATTTTTCAACATCGGCGCAATTGATCTTTTCGAGCTGATGAATATAGAGTGGTTATTCAAGCTCAGCCTCAGGTGATTATCGAAACGATTGTCTACCATGATATAAGTTGCTCGTGTGCGGGAAACTCTAAGTCCACGACGACTTTGAAAGGTATGGTTTTCGTTGACTAATAACGGATTCCTCTCACTGATTTTTTCGCCAGAGGCAGGGTCTTGTGCTTCAAAAGGACAAAATCCACTGTATCACAAGATAAGAGAACGAAATTTTCCCAGAACAGCAGCTATAGGTGGCGGCTCAGCTTGCCTCGCTGGATCACTTCAGGAGTCCTAGAAGTGGCTGGCATAAAGGCTCCAGGAGGATGGAACTGGTACTTGAGATCTTATAGTATCATTCCTATTGACTCAAAAGCGAGTAGTTATGTGATGGATGGAAATATTCAAGAGCTCCAGGACATGTTTGCCTCGAGGCAGGCATCGCCTTTTGACCTAATATATCTCCTAAATGAGAACCTATTCTCACTTCTTGAGGTACGATTTCTACACAGACAATTAGCTGATCCATGTTCACTAAGAAATAACCAAGTGGGTCACGCGGAATAATAGAAACGAGATGAAAGCTTTTCTCTTAGATCAAGGAACAGATCCAAACTCTTTATTCGACCTACCACTTTGGAGCATAGTATCCTACGCCAAAACCGAAGTAAAAGTGGGGTCACTCATCCCATCTATGCGTGTCCTGTTTCATCATATAGACATAAGCTATGAATCCGACGAAGAAGCAGCAATCTCTGTCTCAGGCAGGGTTTCATGGTACACCAGAAGAAAATTTGTTCTTACAGCAGTACGTTTGCCCTTCCTTCTACCGACTACCAAAACGGATTCGCATTAGAGTGGCCCTTCGTATAGGGGCGTTCTATATCTCCGATTGGTCCGTACCAGAGCTTTTTCGAGTCATATTAGGAACGGATGTCTTGGAACCCAACGATTTTAAATTTTGTCAAGAGTTAGATTCAACATTGATCCACTGTGCAGCACGGGGCATGGGTGCTAGCGAAAGAGACTTTCGAGAAGGGACTAGCGCTGATAAATCAAATTGTGGTGCTTGGAGTGACCTTTGCCATGGATTTCTGTGTCGGAATCGACATTCACGACCTCGTTAACGGCAGAAGTCCCTTTCTATCATTTCTCGATGGATATCTCTCAGCATGGCGCGGACCCATAGAATTAGGTCCGGCTTGTCAAATTGCCGTTCAAGTCTGGCTGAAACAACTCGAAGTTGTTGGTGTCGATGTAAATGGATATGGTAAAGCGGAGGAATATATGTGGAAAGGGGGATCACCCAGCGAGAATTTCACGTGTGGAATATTCCGGAACAAGGGTTTGAATCTCAAGGAATGATTGGACTTGCCTATGGCTCTTCCCCTGAGAATTGGCATATATGGCTGTCCAAGGAATCTGATTTTTTTGTGGGACAATTTTGGGATATGATCGAGCGGCCAGTGGAAGTGATGCCAGGTGCCTGGCCGAAAGAATAATCTCTATATATATGAAATGCACTCCCTGCATATGTACTTAGATAATCATTACACAACCTTGGAACGTGATGTGAGAATAATTTTATACGTTAGTCCTTGGGCTTTCAATAGATTTAATGACTTAAGGTCTAAAGAACGAAGAAACTAAAGATCGGGGGGGGGGGGGNGGGGGGGGGGGGGGGGGGGGGAAGCAGAGACGGAGCAAGCAGTAAGAAACTTAACTAGCAAGAAGCCACTCCTACAAACCTTTGAACACCTGCAGCATCGATATCTCCAAGTAAACGAGACACTGGCGCGGAAAATCTCGGAAAAGGTGGTTCAACCGTTCATCGTTAAGTTTTCGCGAACCAAATTGAAAAACAGATATGTCGAGGGAGGTGCAGCCGGCAGCTGCTATTGTTCTCCGCAGAAATTGTGAAGACAATAACCGTAAATCCTTCACACTCCTCCTACCTTGTCTATAACAAACGCATATGTTATACCGAAAGTCGCATCCCATAGGAATTTCTGATATTTTCAAAAACAATTCTAGTGTATCATAACCCTCTGCATTGCTAACTGTTCATCAAATGCCAATGTTGGCGGCTGTCAAATAATTGACGTTTTCAGTTTCCCGTTTCAAGAGAAGAAAAGCCATGCTGGCTATCCGAGGGGCCTTTTTGCTGCACACTGCATGGTGCACGCGCCGTCAAATTAGCGTGGATATCCTGCTGGGTCGATTGGTTCAGGGTTTCCGATCTGCATACCCGGCCCCCAAACATAAGACCCAAGCGCTTAGGTACTGTGACTAACTTGGAACAATTCTCGCCCCTGATAATAAGATTAAAGTCCAGTAGACTTACTTCCTGTGCATTAGCTTCTCGGTTGCGCCGTGAAAGTAAATAGAGCTCCCCAGCCCGTGTCATCTTAGACCCTGAAAAATTCCCACTCTCTTTAGCATTTGGGTATTTGCTACGAAGCAACGGCCAAGATGGCGGGTTGGTGGTTTATGTTACTTTGGGTATTGGCCCCCTCTTTCGCAAACTCTAGAGTCATAAATCTTGCTAGGAGAACAGTTTTGTCGGATCTATCTGGGGGATTTTGCCGCAGTTACAGATTTGGAGGTATGTGGAGAAAAGTCGATTTTAGACCTCGGATGCTTATCGATTGTGTAGCGGATATTGCCAACAATGTTTTGTATATGGTTGGTCTGGATGGAGGACTCATTCCAGATGATGGCGACGCTTCAAGTAAGTCAATTGAAGCTGGTCCTCGCTAATTTGACCTGGTATACTTATGCTGCCTCTTAGACAATTATCTCATGACGCTCGATCTCACGTCGTCTTTCTCCACCTCCGAGGGCAAGAACTATAAGATGACCAAGATAGACACCGAAGTTCCCAAGATCAAAGACATGGCGCTCTGGTCCAACGCGGAAAACTCGACATTGTACCAGTATGGAGGCAGGTTTCTGGAAAACATCACTTCCGAAGACACGATCTGGACCTATACTGTCAAAGAAAAATCGTGGAGCAAACAGGATGGCACCATTCAGCCCTCGCGACTGGAGTACGGTGGTACGTTGAAATCCAATCGTTATACCGAGACATGGTTCTGACATCAGCTTTCTGACAGTGTATACGAATGCGCCTGCTATCCAAGCCGGCTTTTGGATTGGTGGTTATCGGGCTAGTGGTACGACAGCTTCAATCACAGACTCAACAAAGGAGTACGCCACGGGGCTGATTCAATTAAATACTACAACCGGGCAGTACACATCTCTCGACGGGCCTTACGAAGCTGTCGAAGAAGGTTCGCTTTCATACGTGCCAGTTGGCGACAGGGGAATTTTGGTGTATATTGGTGGCGATCTTCCCTCCATTAAGGATGGAATCAACGCTACGATGAGCTCGGTAAGCTTTTGGAATCCCTGTATTAAACCCGGAGTACTAATAAAGGTCCCAGAGCTCATGGAGCTATGTCCAAGTGTATGACATTGCTGGGGCAAAATGGTATAACCAGTCCACGACGGGAACTGTAGCGTCCCGAACACAATTTTGCGCCTCCGTGCAGCACGACGAATCCTCGTCCTCATATCAGATCTATGTTCTTGGAGGGGCAGATCTGAAATCCAAAGACACTATTCTGGATGTGTATGTGGTATGCTTTCTATCAGGAATCCCACGCACCGGCCTGACACTTTTTAGAAATTACTTATCAATTCCGTCCTTCAAATGGTATTCTGCTGCCCCTCTTGACGGCCCTCGCATGACTCTCACATGTGTGACATATGGGCGTCAGATCTTTGGAATTGGCGGAAGACGTGCCTGGGCAGAGGACGGCAAGGCAGGCTGTTACGATGCTCCAGCCTTCATATATGACGCACAATCTGAGGCAACGCGATCGTCGTTTGATGTGAGTACTCTACCCCCTTCGAAGCCGAGCTCAACAAATTAACAGCTGAACAGCCCGCCCTATCTTCATTTTCCCTATCTTCTTCGACGGCCAGCGATATCAAGACCTCTCCATCTCCCTCACAATGGGCCGATTCAGCCCTTAGAACTCTATTTGGAAAGAGTGAGGCAACAACCAATACTACCGCTAATAACGAAGCCTCTTCCACATCAGAGCCACAGGAAGTTAACACGTCCGATCCAGCGATCAGGGGTGCCATCGCTGGTGGGGTTGTCGGTGGCGTGGCTGGCCTAGCCCTGATCATAGGCCTGTTATGGTTCTTCATTGCAAGGAATAAGAAACAAAAGAATGCGAAATTGGGTGAGGCTGAGGTTGTAACTCGCCAAGTGCAGCCGATGCCTGAGCTTCCAGTGGGTGCCAGAGATGGGCGCTCTGAGTTGGGCGGGGACATGTACATGTATTCGGAACTTCCCGCGGATAATAAGAGGGAAATACCCGAACTAGGCAGTGAACGGAACAGGTAGTTAGTCGCCAGCATATAATTTTGTTGAGATGGTCCCATCTCTCATGGATGCCTGTTTTTTTTGCTTCAATTTCCAGCAAACCGACCCCGAGCCGTCTCTATGAAGTCTGACAGCACAGATAGTGAAACCAATGTGCTTTCTGACATCTCTCGGAATATAAAGCTTGCCAAGGGCAGGATTATTTACATGGAGAAAGATCACTGGTCGCCTGAATGGTCAACTACACATTTGAACAAAAGGAAAACTGTCTTTGATCATGACGTCAAACATTAGTTAGAGAAAAAAGTCAAAAAAGTCTTCAGTAAGTGCAATTCTTCATCATTCCCAGCCTTGTCGAGTCATCTGATTTATCTATAGCCAGGCCCTCTCCATGCACGAAGGGAACAATTTCCCGAGACTTCTCCGCACCGAGTAAATAGTTCTCGGAAGACATGAGTTCTCGGAAGACATGAGGCACATTCTATCGGACGGGTACGATGAATTACGCTTTGTAGTTTAGTTTGTCCACTTGTGATTTAGCGCTCTTTGTCCTTATGCCTGCCCGTGCGTAGTTCTATATAGTCCCCTGCTCTTCCCACTTCCATCCAACAGCCCCAACTTTCTTTTTCGCCTTCTTTCTTCTACGCCTCGCAGGTGAGGCATTTTTGCCATTGACCCGGATTCAATCTAGAGCCGAAGATGACCGGATTGGATTACTCAGTAATAGACTGATCAGACTGTCTCAGCCGTGATTCGCGTCAGCCAGTTCTTGCTCAGTCAGCGCAGTTAAGTGACTAAATAGGGACAGTTTTTTTACGATGACTACAAGCCGCTCTCTGTCGGACTGTGGCTAGGCTTCGCTCTGGAACCCCGAAAGAGATAAATTGGTTCATAGTATACAGAAAAACCCGATACACATACGCGGTACGACAACAAATTGTATCAATTAGTGATATGTGGCTCTCTAACTAACTAGAAAGGCCAAAACCAGAATTTCCCAGGGTCCACAGACATGTTGACAAATTGCTCCATTTTGCATAACTTGCAGCCATTGTCTACCTTGAGTGTGCGAGGCATCATCTATTTTAAGTTACAGTTATCCATGAGAGATTGTCTGAGAGCTACAAAGGATCATAAGATCTAGATCTAACCACAATCAAAAGTCAAATTGCTCAATTAAGCATCTATTTCTGAGAGAACCTAGGTAGTGAACTCATGTATGACCTTTTCATAGACACTTGCAGTTCCACCTTGAGAAAACCCCCATCCACTCATCTTTGTCTTTTAGTATTTTTTCCTGCCTCCCACGTCTAATTTAAATCTCAACCTTCTCTAGTAGCTTCGCAACATTGTCGTGTCGTGGCTTCAATCCGATGCGGAATGGCACTGGCGAACGCCCAGAGAGGCCATCGTATTCTTTCAAATCAATAGGTTCCCCTGGGATCTCGTACATATCAAATGCCCAGAGCATACGGGAGATTGTCAACCAAATCTCACGCTCAGCTACAATCATTCCAGGGCAAACGCGACGACTATAAGTTGTTAGTCCGAGGTTCTGTTGTTCTTTTAGGGTAAATTAGTACTTACCCAGCTCCAAACATCCAGTGGTCTCGCTTCATAGGATCGGCGACATTGACACTGTCAGCAGATGTCAAGGGGTCATCAATATAACGATCGGGCTGTTTTTTCGTTTGTTAGTAAATAAAACTCTCATGGGACTGGGAAGAGGTGACATACATCGAACGTTTCGGGGGAAGAATGACGGGCCGGATCAAAGTGCATAGTCCATGTGTTGAGAACGACCACAGTATCCTTAGGAATGAACTCTCCTTTGTAGACGAAATCTTCGCTGGCAACGTGGGGAGTACCTAGCCAGAAAGGATTGTGAACTCTCTCAACTTCCTTGATAATAGCGTGACAATAAGGCAGATTCTTTTCATCTTCAATGCCAGGGAGACGATCACGTCCAACAACCCGATCAAGCTCTTCCTGGGCCTTCTTCTGAATCTCAGGATAGGCAGGAATAAGAGCAGAGAACCATTGCATGATAGCAGCAGTCTGAATGTGTCAGTAATAAATCGCAGAAAGGGAATAATGGTGGTAACTTACTGTCTCAACACCACCGATCATGAAGGCGGACGCAAGAATTGCCATATCCAAATCGTCAAGGTCCTCCTTTTGGCGGACTTCAACCATGGTCTTCGCCAAACAATCCTGAACCTCCTTGCCTTCCTTCAACTTCTGCTCAGTTTCCTTGATGAAGCCACCGTATGTCTCAACCAAGCCCTTGTGCAGTTTCTTGGCGCGCGTGTGCAGTGGTGTCGGGATGTATTGCAGAATAGGAACAAAATCAATAAGGTTTGACATGGGACCAGTGCAGTTCCTAGTAACTTGGTTAGCTTTTTTGGCAATATTGATAAACATGTCCATGGGCCATGCACGTACATAAATTCACGGCTGAGCTTCAAGGCCCGTCCAACCAGAGGGTGGTGGATGCTGTCCGCTCGGAAACCGAAAGTGATAGTTGTCATGTTGTTCAGCGAGCAACGACCGGCATGAGGCTTTATCACTTAGTACTTGCTGTTGGCATGGGTGAACCGGATTAACATACCTGAGGGTTGACGGGGGCCAGGCCTCCTTTGCTTTCAACAAGCAATGCCTTCACCAACGAGAGCGACTCGCGATCCAAGACAGGAGAGTATGTGTCAACGGCACGCTGGCTCAGCCATGTAGCAGCAATACGGCGGTGCTTGCGCCTTTAATCAAGGTCAGCAGCAATCTCAGTGAATTTTAGGATAAACTTACCATCGGTCATTGTATGGAGTAGCAGTGATGCCTCGACCAGCAAAGACAGTTTGGCTTTTGATAAACATTTCTTTGCGAGAAGAAAACACGTTTCCGTTGGTGACCATGAGGTCCTTGGCAATGTTTGGGTCAGAAACAATGACGAACAGTTGGTTTCCAAGCCAGATGGAATATATGTTTCCGAACTTCTTCGCCCAGTAGTCCAGAGTCAACTCAGGATACCTAGTCAAAGAGTAAAAGGAACCTATGAATCATCTTAGTAATGGGCTGTTGACATATGTGAGCGGCAGAGTTACCAAAAATAGGAAGCCCTATCGGACCCTTAGGGATTTTGTGACCATTTTCGTCAGTCCAGGGCTTTCTCAACCAGGCGAGAAGCGATGCTCCGACAATTGCAGTGAGTGTCCACAGGAATGGTGAACTTGCTTCAGTCACAACAGCAAGTCCTGCAACCCACGACCCTGAGTCAATGGGCAAGGGGCTGAGCAAAGCCTCGGTAGTGTTGTATACCACAGACATCTCTGCAAAGTATTCAATGAGCTGGGTTGAAAGTTGATCGATGGAGGCATCACCGTTTTATACACTCTAGAAACCCACAATCGCTTTCATATTCCTATGGACAAGAGGCGAGAGATCGGTTAGTCCCGGAAGTCCGGACAGTTCTCAACTGAGAACCATGTGCGTGAGGATGCCTCAAGCCGGAGAATTACTGCATGGGTTAGCTTCAAGAGGGGGCCAAAGTGAACGAATACGGAGAGGCAACGTTGAATTACCTGCTTAGCCTCAATTCACTGACATGTGGATATCTTGCAAAGATCCCTTGGCGGTGATAAAATACTACCTCGCGTGTCTGGTGTGCATGATCGACCGCTCGCTTGACGAGGTATCACCTTGACTTTGGAGTGCATATTCCCTTTTTGGACCGGAGACCCAGAGGCTTGACCTGAGATACATTATCTAGTAAGACGTCGTCAAGGCTAGATTCTTGCAGGCGGGTCGAAGGATCACTGTGACGGTGCTGTGGACCACCGTTATCTTACGGAAAATATAGGTTTTATACAGATGTTAGATTATATGAGTGGGTCTTGCCCATCATGAGCGATTTATATAATCTCGCCTAGAATTGAATGCTATGTATGCACGTACAAAATACAGACAGATAGTTGAGCCTGTATTGGCTGCTGAAAATATATCTGTTGTAGTTTACCATTGCACCTGTTAAGAATATCCCCTGCCAATTTATATCCCGAAGCTGAAATCTAACTGCATCTCATGCAAGTCTCTTCATTCCTAAATACGCCTAAAAACGCATTGAATCTACCATGGAAACCTTGCTCCACCAATAATCCACTTTCATCTAGAATTCTGGAGTCGTGAATGGAGAACGCGTAAAACATTCGGATTCCGACAATATAGAGACCACGACCTGGCCAGGCATTAGAGTTCAGACGGTTCGGGGCCATATTTTTGAATCTGACGTGGTAGCGGATCATGAAAGGTAAAATATACAAGTGAACTGAGAGTAATTTGGCGTGAAGAGTACACCAATGATCATCAAGTAAACAGTAATCATCTTGGTCTTGAATCAACCTCATTTTCTAACCCAGCCATTATAATTATGTTGCTCGGTATTTACGCGACGGAGGAACAATGTATCCTGCAATTTACGGCATTTGCAACGCATAAGAAATTCATCCCTGGGTAGTACAATTTCGCGGCTCTGCAACCTCGTGGCAGTAGAAATTGTACTCACAACTAACAGTGGGATACCTGCATTAAATCTCCAATTAGCATGGTCCTCGGATATCATTATCGTTTCCTTCCGTTCCGGCGTTTCATAATGGCACTTTTGACCGTTTACATTAATTTAAACCAGGAATCTTTAGGAGGATCATCCTTCACATATGACAGAACGAGTTTAGCGCCAAATTGTGGAGCTATCCATGCGGGACCCCCGTTGCGTTGCTCGGTACGAAGGATCGCAGAAGACAAAATACTAACAGAATACTGACAGTTAATGGAGCCGAGGCGCCATTCAATGCGGGCGATAAAATGTGCCACGCAGGATCTAGAGGTGGTATTGGTCTTTACCGCTTTGAAAATTTACATCCGTGGATGTGCATTAGCTTGGTAAGTGGGGTCAATCCCGAAGGCATCTGGATAACTTGATTTACAGAACGGAGTTTGCTCGGCTTGGCTGTCTTTGTAGGAGCTAGTAGACTTAGCGCTGATCCAATATAGAGCTCATCTGCCTAGTGACACAACGTCGGTTACTAATTCCTAACATTTGAGTGAGCGTGTATATTAATTATCTTCATAAAAAGCAATTCAGGTTCATATCCTAGCCTCTAAATGCATTAAAAGGAGACTCGGTACCCAAATTGACAGCTAGGGAATAAATATAGGTTTACCTACTAGAGTCTTATTCAACTATGAAATGGGGGTCCATAGGTACTAGGTAAACAAGAATATTTCCCGGCAATAACAGCCAATAGGACCAACGTCCCTGGTACACCTTTTCCGCCCATAATTCAAGCGAGCCGTTGCGGATTCGGACGGACAACGCAGAGTTCCCGTCCATCTAACCGAGACCATAAGCGTGAACATGTGAATGTGGAACGTGGAATTTAAAATGTTGAGATTGTGGGGCGGATCAAATTTGACAATAAAACTCAATTGCGGTACATAAACTTTGACGCGCTATAGGGATCCAGGTTTCAAATATCCATGCTAGGGTAATTGGCTGTACTCCGTACGGATCTCAGATCTGAACTGAGTTCAACCTTTCAAGGTTTCGTTCTCGTAGATCAATGGCCTTGGCAATCCGTGCGCCGCGGGTCGGGGCGAGGGCACCAATGGCGATATTGTGGAGTGTCTCAACCGACGGACCACCCACGGAGTAACGGTTCCTTATTTTACTTTAAAACAATTATTTAAAATATTATGTTGAATATGTTTTAATCAATTAATTATGTAAATACTATGTTGAATATAACTCTTTTTTCTTAGAAAAAAAAAAAAAAAAACCACTGGGCCACAGAAAATCAAGGGCACTCGAAGGGCTTATGATGGCCCCCCTAAAACTCGTCGCCAATGACATCCTGACACCGCACTTAACATCCTAAAAGACATAGCAAGTCTATTCCCAGTCAACCTCCGTGTATTCATCACAAAAGATAAATCGCAATTTCATTCCCCAACAACGCCGTGACATTTATATAGCCACCTTGCAATGGAGGTGTGCATCTCTATTTCGAGTTGCTAGTCTGTGGAAGGACAGGCTTGGGGGCAGGCGGGCTGATCCAGAAAACAGGATAACGGCGTTGAATGTTGTTGAGGATCAGAGCCACCATCAGGATCATAGTCGACGAAAGTAAGACAACTGGTAGATAGTACCAAGATAGTGCCCACACAGCTTCGTCCACTGCTGGAAGGAGAGCTGTGGCGCCAGCTGGAGGGTGGGTTGTCTCAGTGATCTGCATAACAACAATGGCCACGGAAGACGAAAGCGAAGCGGCGAGCCAACGTAGAGAGTTGAACTTTTCTTCGTTGGGCATTAGGCTGAAGAGTTTCGTGATGCAGATTCCCACTAGAGCGCTCAAAAAATGACCACCGATCAGGGCACGTGGCTGTGCTAGAGGGCTTTCAATAGCACCATATACGAGGACAGCTGATGCTCCCTACTTGTAGATGAGTATTTGAGAAGGGCGCTTTGAAAAAAAAAGGGAGACGCACATAAGAAGCAACGATACCGGGCACTCCACGTTCAATGAAGTAGGAAGAGTAATTGAATATGCCTTGTACCACACATAGACCACAGAATGCAGCTATGAATGACCACAAGTGAATGAGATATTTCGCAGGAGGCTTTGGTCCATTCTCACGATAGCCAAGCCAGTGGCTGACAGATCGAGGGAGGCGAGCCAAGAACTCTCTCTCGGAGATCATTATTAGAACTTGAGGAATGAAAATGACGAAGTATCAGAGTTTGAGAATAAGATCAAATGTAAAATTGAAAATAAGTCGAATAGAAAATGAACAAGAGATCATGTGATGTACATTTGTTTCTTCGAAGGGGGATCATGATCATCATAGATCGCCATAGGAGACTCCCGTAGGGTTAGTGATGTGACTAGTAGAAGATCGGGATTTGGAAATAAATGCCTCTTTACCAAACCCCGTGGAAAAAAAAACAGAATTATACGCGGACTGACCAAATTGGCAATTCCTTTTTTTTTTTCTCGAAATCGGACCCGACGGCTACCTCCGACTAATGCACGGCCCCTGTAATATTTCCCCCGATCGGGAATATGGCAAGGGGGCCGTCGTAAGCATGCTAACCTGCGCCAGGTGGCATATTAGCGCCTTGGCATGCAGTAATCGACGCTGCCAATCTTGATCTTCGCTTGAAAGGAAGTACAAGGAAAATCGAGGTTAGGGCTTACGCATGTGCTACACGGCTGAAGCACAACGTGCCACCATGTTCATGATCAATTCGTCTCACCGATATCTTTATAAGAGCCTTGGTGTGTTTGTCTCGTTCCTTTCGAGCGTCATAAAAGGGTTTCGTGCTTTCATCTAATCGACATCTACAGAGGCCAGCTCATTGTCCGCGATAATATGTCTCTCTTACGGGTTTCCGATGTCCATGAAGATACACGCAGTTAGTGAGATCCAGCTCATATTTGGAACCTCATTGACAAATTGAAATAGTCTTAGGCTTTGATCCATTGTTGTCTCCGGAGTATCTGCAGCGGGAAATTACTGCAGTAGGTCTATGAAATTGCATTGAAGAAGCGGGAATCGGCATGGCTGACACACAGAAGTCTTTTTCTTCGTTAGAAACCGTACGCTCCAGTCGAAAGCAGATCATCGACATCCTTGAACAGCGAGATGACCGCTTATTGGTAGTCGTTGGCCCTTGCTCAATTCACAACACGCAAGAGGCATTGGAATATGCTTCCCGATTGCATGAACTTTCTAAAAGACTCTCGTCGACCCTTTGCATCGTAATGCGTGCTTATTTGGAGAAGCCTCGTACTACCGTCGGCTGGAAGGGTCTGATCAATGATCCTGACATTGACGGATCCTACAACATTAACAAGGGCCTCCACATCTCCCGTCAGCTTTACTCGAACCTGACTGATCTGGGTGTCCCAATTGCCAGTGAGATGCTGGATACTATCTCTCCACAGTATCTTGCGGAATTCATTTCCCTCGGGGCGATTGGCGCGCGCACCACAGAATCTCAATTGCATCGAGAGCTGGCGTCTGGCCTAAGCTTTCCCGTTGGGTATAAGAATGGGACATCTGGCAGTGTTAGTGTCGCTATTGATGCCATCCAGGCTTCCTCCAAGCCTCATAGATTCTTGGGTGTCACAAAACAGGGTATGGCAGCTGTGACTCGCACCACTGGAAATGAACATGGATTCCTTATTTTGCGAGGCAGCAATGAGGGCCCTAATTATACCAAAGAGCATATTGGGCGCGCGAAGCAGGCGCTGAAGCTAAAAGGCGAGCGGGAGAACATCATGGTTGACTGTTCGCATGGTAACTCGGAGAAAAAACATCAAAACCAGGCAGTTGTGGCGACAAATGTGGCTGGTCAGATTGCAAGTGGAGAGACTGCTGTCGTTGGTGTGATGATCGAGAGCAATCTCAATGAGGGCAATCAAAAGGTGCCTCCGCAAGGGGCAAGTGGGCTTCGTCCTGGAGTCAGTATTACCGATGCCTGTATTGACTGGGAGACAACTGTGGATGTTCTGCAAATGCTGGCAAATGCTGTTCAATATAGACGTTTTGGGGCCAATGGCTCAGCTATTGAGTGTGCTGGGAAATCCCAAGTGCGTTTCGATAAGCAGATGACGGAGGGTACTGCGCTCAAGTTGGTGTGATTGTCATGCGTTATAAATTTGATGTTTCGCGATTGTCTTTCCTTCTTTTTTATTTTTATGCAAGGCTCTGTTTGGTCCCCTGTCTTGTAGAACTGCCTAGTGAGTATACTGGTGAGTAGATAGAGAAATTTCACATTTTTTGGCGCCTAAATTATCATCAATTAAGCGTTGGGTTGTAGTTGTAGCGAGCTCCAGCATATTACAAGAATCGCAAATCCCCTATTCCATGTATCATTAGGGAGACACGATCTTATCTCTGCCAAAAACCTTAATCTGTCGATAAAAGGAAGTGTTGACTGACATGGATGTTGTATTTCCTCAGTAAACCATGTAATCAACCGGTGCGACATCACCAACTGTAAAGCCCAACCCGCAAATGGGCTGAGCTTTGGGTCCGATTAAGGGCCTAGTAGGCCTAATTAGCACCAAATAATGCGAATATCTTATGATTTTAATTAATACGTAACTAATGATTAGTTAAATTTATATAGCACGTTTAAATACGCGAGAAAACGCGTTATTTGGATGAGTTCTAAATTAAAGAGGCACACTTAAAAAGTGGTGGTACTCTTGCATAGGTCAAATATATATCTGATTTTAAAATATTATATTAACATTTTTTTCGCGATATCCCGACCTCTACTACTTAGATTTTGTTTAAAATTGAAATGTAAATATATTTATGTAGCTACTGTAACTCTATATGCCGAATTTGAACTCTATACAATCAGTAGAAGGCCAGAATACAGCGACTATAAGACACCGGGTTACAAGCGCGAAGAGCCCCTGAATAGGTTATAATGGGCTATTGTAGGCCCCTATCGATAGGCTATCATAGTATATAGCCCACAGCTCGTTGGGCCTTTATAGGCTTTGCGGAGCTCTACCGGTCGGGAATGCACCACGTAGGCTATGTCCTCACACAATTCGACACAATTCGACAGTTGAGTGCAGAGGTACTAAGACTGATTAGGTAGAGGAAAATTTTTGACGTAAAATCTCAATTAACCTCGTGCCGGAGTCAACGGGTGTATTTTGTTAGGTATTCTGATAGGCTATCTGTTGATAGCCTATAGCCTAGGCCGGATATTGGTCCTCCGCCGCAATGACGTCGGAAATACCGTAGGCTATACGGAATGAACTGTGCCATGTGAGCTGAAGTGACACCACCGAGTAATACCTGCTATCCGACCGGTCTCCTATATAATCCCGAAATAATTTCGCAAAGTCTTCATCACCACCACCAGACAAATCCCAGTTCCGAACATTCCGTTCAAAACAATTCAAATTCCAACATGCAGGAACCAACCTACGACCCCAGGTAAATCAAGAATCAAGTCAGGTTTCTGGTTTCCGATTGGAAGTTAATTAGACACAGTCGCCCGATGCCCTCGCTCGAGATTGCCTACTCGTACAAGCTGATCGGCATCCCGAACAAGACTATCGTCAGCTTGCGCGTCGAATTCCCACCTAATGGATCAACTCCCCCGCATCGTCACGGTGGGGCGAACGTTGGAGCTTATGTCCTCAAAGGGACGCTGCTCAATAAGATGAATGATGCCCCTATGAAAAAGATCGAGGAGGGTGGAAGCTGGTTTGAAGCACCCGGGTGTCATCATCGCATCAGCGATAATGCCAGCAAGACCGAGCCAGCGACGCTCATTGCTACCATGATCACGGACACTGAAGCATTTGAGAGGGACGGAATGGGAGCTCTGATCCAGATTGATGAGGAGTATCGGAAATGAGAATAGTGGAAGGTTGAAGCGATTAGTAGCACACTGTCAAAGCATGAATATAGTCAGATAATCCGCGATTGAAAATCAGGAGGAATTTTATAATTAAAGAGTAAGCGCCCGGAGGATCTACTGTGAAACAAAAAATCCCGTTTCGGTTAGACTGGGAGCATCCGCATCAAACAAGGCACAGAAGTCGAAATTGGCATCGGGCAACATGCCCAATTCCGGAAATGCAGGCGAAGTTGGATCCGGAAGGGATAGGTCAATGGCAGCCAAACCAGCGGGGGGATCCTTTGCGATGGATAACAATTCTCGGGCAATAATTCCAATCTCACGATAGGTTCGTTTGCCTAGCGTCCAGTGCTCACTTAGACGCTTCAAAGTACCCATAGTCAAACGAATCTTCTCTCGGCTTTTGGCTCGCCGGTCCCCAGAAAAGATAAACCTGCAAGCCGATAGATGTGCAATGGTCACATTGGCAATCATGCAAATAATGAAGGGGGAATGGGTCTTCATATTAGTTGGCAGAGTCAACAGTTCATCAATGCTATTGATAGCCTGGGTGCATTTCACGGTATGCAGGTCACGTTCCTTTGCGTTGTTGCATTTTAATTGTTCCGACGGAGCCAGTGGAGCACAGCGCGATACGGATTCGATTGCACTGTGAGTCAGCGCCGACAGCGGCCGATGGATTTCAACGGTGAATCTAAAGTTCGGGTTAGACAAATGGATACGAGCCAAGGGAGTTGTAGATCTCACGTGTGCATAATGAAGAACGCTTTGAACATCACCTCATCAAATGATCCATCGGGACGGATTAATTGGCTCTTTTGCGGAGAAAGAAGAGAGCACCACGCTCGAACACTAGTATCAGCGCTAGCAGCCATCGTAGTGTATATTCTACCATCTACAGTATTTCCCGGAGACAAGGCCCGATCAATCCCGCGGGTCAAGCCGACAAGCTCCGCATAGGAGGAAAAATCAGTTTCGTCTTCACCAAGGAACTCCCTGTTCTCGTAATCTTCTAGGGATCGTGGGGATGGGATAGCCTAATAGAAAGATCAGCTCAGCCTTTTTGAAACAAATAGAGCGATTGCCTGACCCCTCTTTCATACTGCTCTTCTTCACAAGGAAGGTCGGTAGTGATTTCAATGCCACTTGTTCGGAACGGGTACGTATGGGTGGATCCTGCGGTCATCAGAAATGCAACTTGGGATCGATAATCGTGTCTAGGGAGCATACCGGCAATGTGGACATCGGTGATATAGATCACCCACCAAGTGCGGCGCCAACTCTCTTCTAGTACTGAATCGGCTTCTCCATAGTTTTGTGCGAAATCCTTTTTGCTCATCCCAAGGGCTACTGCCATGCGAATTGCTTCGTCAAGGAGCTCAACGCCACTTTCCGTTTCATTGCACCAATAGACGGCGATGGAGTAAAGTAGGATAGCTTGAATGTCAAAGGGTGTAAGAGGCCGAGTTGATGACCGAATTTGGACCACTGAGTTCTGAGCACGCTGAGCGCATGATTCTAATAATTGCGATGGACAAGAAATATCGAAAATAGATCCGATATAGCACATCACTTGAAGGAGAGGCTGGACTTTGGGTTCGTTAAGACGAGTCTTCAAATTTTGAAATGGTAAGGCGCAAGGATGGGCCGCATGGAAGAATTCATAATACAAACTCAGAAATGAGGAACCTGAATTGGAAGATGATTCAATTTGCCCGTCGGTAGGAGCAGAAGAGGAAGAACCGACTGTGGAAGTTTGCAGTGATGAGTCGATCGAGTTCTCATAGACATCTCTAACAGGCGACAGCGGGGGTTTCCCCGATTTTGGATTTCCACGTCGGCGTGATGGAGGATAAACACATTGTACTGTATTTGTGGCGCAGCGTGAGCAGACGGGCTTACGACCATCGCAGCGAAGGTGCTTGTAGCGACATTGTGCGCACGATAGGGAATTCCGTGTTCCACGCTTAGTAGGTTTATTCCTGCCTGGTGGAGCATCGGGATCTGACATCGTTTTTGGGGATATGACCGGGATAATGTGGCGAGAAAGGAAACGAAAGTCGCGTTTGGTCCCGTCTATCTCAGATTAGTCATGCAATACCCGCATGGGATATGTATATGGATCCAGGCACCGTCTACTTGGTATTCTCCGTATATGTGGTTTATCACCAATTAATCATGATATTGGGCCCAATTGTGTACTTAGCTCATGATCGACCAGTAGGACTTAAATATGTGAGATATGGAGAACGAATATTAATTTTCTTACTTAACCCGTACTAAAAAAGGCAAGTGCTATTGATGTGTTTGATACTTCACTGTATTTTGATCCTTTCTTCTACCTTTGACAACTCGAAGAAAGAACAATCATGCTTTTGCGGGCGGATGAGTGGCTCCTGTTTCGCTCCTGAGAGTCACATCGCTATGCCAACCTTTGAAATCCCGGGTCCGTAATCTCAACGAGAACATGCGATCGATCTCCATCGGCGTCCGACCTTTCATCTCTGGGATAGCCAGCCACACTACGGCGACTGCAACTGCGGCGAATCCTGCCATCACGAACCCTGTTTTCGCCCTCAGATTTCCTTGGTCTGCGTTGTAGATATAAGGCAAAATGATGGCGAACACTGCAGTTCCGACACCGCTTGTAAACCACCCAATACCTTGGGACTTCGCTCGAAGTTGGAGCGAGGAAGCTTCGGCGGCAACAACATGGGACGCAGGCCACGATCCGAAACCAGAGACCATAATGATAACCATCATGCTAACTGCTGTATACCTAGTGTCAAGTTAGCTTATCATCCTAAAAGTCCGATATGGTGTCTTACCAAACCGTCACAGTTCCCTTGAAGATCCCTGCGATTCCGATTGCGATCCATAAAACCATAACAATACCCAGAGTCAGTAGAATGAGGGATCTTCTCCCAAATGCATTCAACGCCCATAGACTGATAACATTCGCAATCAAGCCCAGTCCAATACCCAAAATCAAGAATATCAGGCTATTAGATGAGCTCATACCCACGATTTGCATGAAGTAGGAGGCATTTGCCAGCAGCTGCAGTCCGAACATCTGAGGTATCACGTTCGCAAAAGCCACAACCAAAGTTCGGCGCATGCTGACTCCTCTAAAGCAATCGGCATATCTGTGGGTTTCGCCCTCCTCGTCCTCGGCTGAAATTGACGCCTGCAACTCGTCTATTACAGCTTGTGAGTTGACACGACTTGTATCAAGCTTCTTTTGTGCCGCGAGGGCCTTGTCCGTTCGTCCCTTTCGCAAAAGCCACGTTGGACTCTCCGGCAAAAATGTCGCTAGAACAAACGGGACAGCTGAGAACGGCCATTGCGATGCAAAGCATATCCGGTATGATTGTGCGCCAGTGTGTTTAAGCGAGGTATACACCATGATCGACCCAACTAGTTGTCCGAGAAGCGTGAAGATCGGATAAAATGCAATGATCGGTCCTCGTAGAACAACAGGGAGTACCTCGGACATATATGTCTGTGTAACACATAGAAGAATGCCAATACTGATTCCATGGAAGAGTTTACCGGCGAAGAATACCCCTCGACGAGTTTCCATTCCGTCTGGTAGATCGGAAATATAGCATATCGCGACCGCAATGGTAGATAGGAAACTGCCTATAGCGAGCGTAATCCGACGCCCACGACGATCTTGATAGTAACCACCGACGATGGAGCCGAACATCACGCCAATGCAACTGGAGACGTTCCAAAGGGAAAGCCACATCGAGGGGATGATGTATTTTCCATTAAATTCCTGGCCAAAAACAAGTCTCTCGCGTGTCAGCAGAACTGTATTCTAGAATTCTGGGAGAATTATGTACTGGAATTGAGGCATTGCAGCCACTGTCCCCACAATGACAAGGTCATATCCGTAGAGAAGAATTGCCGAGCTTAGCGCGAGGCAGTAGCCCACGATTCTGGGGAATTTCTTGATCGATTGCCAGAGTGGTATGTGTGATGTCTTTTTGTCTGCATCAATACCATTCACGCCATCCTCATTGAACTCTTGGGTGGATAGTGTCTCTGTGAGAATCATAATGTATAAGGTGCTTATAGCAATGACAAGAGGGGATGGAAAGGGGCAATAACAGGGGGAATTTCTTTGTTTTAAATCGGTGGATGTTGATCCTTACAAAATGGTAGAACAAAGAAACCCGTATACTAACTTTAAAAGGGGGAGAGCAAGGTATATTCAATACAAAATCCATCCATAGCGCATGTAGTATGTACAACAAACGAACCAACGTCCTCGAATCGAATTTCTTGTTATTGAGGGTTTTCTCAGCATTGACCGCAATGTGGTACGAATAACAAGGATATCCGGCTGGTTTCTTGATCCTAATTTGGCTGCGAGACCTTCCCCCGCACCGCCAAGTGATCATCTTCCAAAGGAAGATTATCGCTTCGAGGTAACCGGGGTTATCCCCGGTCTTCCCGCTACTATACGATCATGTGCCTGATTCACATGTCCAGCATATATGCGAACAGCCATAGTAGAGAGGTATGGTGCCAATTGGAGACACTGAAAGCCTTTTTCAAGGATGACCCCTGTTTCCGTTTATATAGAAGGCAACTCTGCCTCTTATCAATTGTGGAGAAAATGCACATTTGATGGTAAGGATAGAGATTGGCTCGCTAAGAGACTGAACGCGATGGTTGAAGGGAAGTTTCGAGAAGAAGACGAATCCAGCGTTATGCTTTATGCCGTCTGGTCTAGTGAAAACAGCCCAAAATAAATTAGGACTGCCTGACCTCGCCTGGCCTGGATATGCAGTTGACCATTGAATGAAAACTCCGTACAGGGCAATGACCCAACATCCCCCTGATCTACCTGTGTCCAACATTAATACTATCATACGCTATTCGCTCTGAGTTGATAGTTCTAATATTAGATGCGATTGACAGAGAGACTGGAAGTCAGTTATCCAGATGTATCCATCAGTTCGAGCTAGCACGTCCTATTTCAACCATTTGGGTGGAAGTTCCCCAACGAGCACCTCCGAGGAAGTAATATGTGAAGTATTTCATTTGACTTTTTTTAGTTTGGCTTGCGCTGGCCTGTCACAGTTGAGAGTTCAATCGACCCAGATGATGATCGTGTCTCCTTCATTTTCTCCAAGTCCCCCAGATGTCGTTTCAATGCAGTAATCTCACGTTCCAACTCAACCGACGACGCGAGTCGATATTTAAGCTTCAAAATAGCAGCTGAGATCAAAAGTAGCGCTAGAGACGTGAGGTATGCCCACTGACCAACCTGGCTCGGGGTCTCTTCTGAAGGTCCGTCATTGTAGATTTGGATCTCTATCCAAACTACAAAGGCAACGATGGTGAACGGACTGACTATCATGCTGAATAGTATCCCAAACAGAATCGCAGCGTCAACAAGCACATGGAAAAAGGACTTCAGGAACCGACAGGTGAATATGTGTCGCATACGGTGGCAGACAGAAATTCTCTCGTTTGTCGATCCCGGGTCTTCCTCGTCGTTAGCTAGGTTGCTTGGTGGCTTCATTGCACCGCAAACTTCGTCTTTGAAATCTTTCCAAATAGTCTTCCGTTGTTTCCAGATGACCATGATCTGCGCTGATGGGATTCGTGATCGATAAGGTAGGAATCGGTAAGTCAAGAGGAGACAGTTTAGGATCAGACAGAGAATGATGAGACTGTAGATGTATCGATGCGAGTAAAGAACCTTTTTCCAGAAGCTACGAGAGGTAGCGACTTTAAAGTCTCCGTCTGCTGTGGCTGAATGCAACGAGCTTGACTTTCGTAGAATTTGGGTTGAATTAAAACAGGGATTGAAGCAGATATCTCCTATTTGATTCCATCGCGATATGTTCGAAAATGTATCCCACACACTGTTGTTCCACGTAGATGTTCTCCATGAAGCTTGCCAGCCGTCATTAGATGTATCGCTGAAAGGTGCAAGATCAGGAAAACAAAACATGTACTGGGATGGTGTTTTGGGTAATTTTGCAGCATAGACGAGTGCACAGATAGATCCAGCCAGCATGAGGGCATGCCAGAGATAAAATAGAAGGTTCCGTGCTCGATCGTGGGTTAGGATGCGGGACCAGCATTGGAGAGGCAGAAAGACGAGATAACCAGTGACAACGATCGCAAGAACAGCATCCGAGTCAAGTTCAAGCGACGCGGGTGAGACCATAACATGGTCTGTTTCGGTGATCAAAGAAGGAAACTCTTTTCGCAGGCTGGAGTTAGCAGACAGGTACGGAATATTGACAGGTCCAGGGTCTTGGGGCGTTTGGTGACTGGAAACCATGATGAAGGCTTGAATTGCCGCAGTTCCTGCATATGTCGCTGCAGTGCCTAAGAATACATTCATGACCCATCCTGTCCATCGAGTGACACAGGTTGCTAGCAGAAGTGCATAGAAAAGATATCGTGGACATGAGTTGTATATTGTACTGATTGGATAATAGCAAAGCGTCTCCTGTGCAATGAACAAGGGGGAACCCGTGTTTCGATCCATTGGAGATATGAATTGTTAAGGAGAGAGTTTGAGGTCCATTGTGTGGTTTCAATTTGTTTTTCCGTCAGGCTCCCATTTTTGTCGCAACTAAAGGTTGACGTCATACATTTTCCAATTCGTACTCAGCATCTTATATTGCCACATCCATTATCCTATAACAATAAAAATGTAAATAGGAAATATTCAAGAAATTTGGCAGTTTTATAGCAATCACAAATATAGATTTTAGGTAAAACAATTAGGTGGAAGTTTCGCGACAAAGGGACTTCTACACGCAGTAGAAATAGTGTTTGTTATCTCTCAGATGCCACAGGCTCGCCATCCCATAGTTACTGACTATATAGTCAGTCATCTTTCCTAGTTTGTACAGTAACTCTACAACAATTTACATATTGTACACCATCGTCTACCATCGTAGACATCAACAAATAGTTCTAATAGTTAATCAATCCTGCGACATATGAGAATTCAAAGGTCATTCTAGGTATTCTAAGGTTGATATTCCTTCAATTATGAACATATTCAAATCTAGTTATGAACTCTAACCCCCACCGTACCAGTGCTCCAAAACAAAGATGATCACTCATTGTTTCCTGTCATTGACCTCATCGACAATAGCCATTACGAGTCTCGTAATAGGACCACCCCGACGCTTTGGTCTTTGGGCTCGTCTCATTTCACGTGTCTGTCCCTGTGGACGGCCACTCTCCATCTCCACTAGATCTTCTTCTCCGCTGTGGACACTGCGTTGCTGCGTATACTCTGCGGAGGGTCGTACTTGAAGTGTAAGACCGATGCCCAGGCACACAAAAACAACCACCATCTCCTCTAGGACAGACATCACAAGCTGAATTGTGATATTTCCTGACAGCATGTTGAATTCGGCCTTCCGCCCAAAGGAATAGATGAAAGAGTAGATTAACCGCACGAGGACCAAAGGGAGAGAGACGCCCACAGCCAGGAGCAAGCGATGTTCTCCGTCCTCGATACTTTGGTTCCGTTGCAAAACCAGGAGTAACAGTCCACACACACCGATCCAGGCAATGAGGTAGCAGATCAGCCCAACCTTCGTCTCTGTGGTGACAACAGTGTGGGAAATATTGAAGTTTTGGGTTGCGCCGACGATGCTCAGAATAACGCCAACAAGTGCAAATATTCCAACAAGTCGGAAGATTATTGGAGGGAGAGGATTGGCGGTCTTTCGCATGATAGAATCATTTCTAAGAAAGGTCGTTAGCTGCAATGTATCAACGTCAATTGCCAGTGAAGGTGTTGCTCACGCTCGTGATAAAAGACCAATACAAGCGAGGATTAATGGTGATAGTCCCAATGAAGTACAAACAGCCCATGTAATGTATAGATTGACATTGGAAGGATAGTTGATCGTGGCCAAGTAGCATGCTGAGCCAACAATGCGGGCAAGAGAAAAGATGATAAAAAAGTACCAGCCCGAGCTCTTTTTAAAACCATGATGGAATGACATCCAGAGAGCAATGAAAAGGGTTGGAGAGTAAACAATAATCTCTAGGATCGAGATCCCATGTCGATAATCGATGGCCATAATCGCAAGTGAGAATGAATAAAGAGTACTGAAACCAAAGAGGAGAATAGGAAATGGACTGATACTTGTATTACCCTCAACTCATGGGTTCCTGTCCGCTATTTAACTCTGCCGATGCCATTTCAGCTCGGGACAAGGCAGTACAGTTAATTTTGATATCACAGCCGCGCGCCCTGAGCGAATATAGTAGGGGTTGCGGATACCCCACTTAAATAAACCATTGACCAATCGCATCTTCCCAAGCACATCTTGCATACTTGATTCGGCTTAGCGTATTGGGTACTTCCGCTTAAGCTTCCTGGCTAAGCCTCTCTCTGAACGCCACAAACCCATTTCTTAGGTGAATATTCTGACAATCTGACATCTCGCATCTCCGTGTGGTCGCAAAAAATCTCACCGCAAAAGGATCCGCCAAATATGAGGAGCTCGACTTTCTTGGCAGCCCAGACAGGGCCAGACAGGAGACTTCTTCCCGCGGGATTCCCTTGGCGGCTTCTTTTTCTTGGGCATCCTAGCGCTGTCACTTGCTATAGTACGAGTATATCATGGTGTATTTCAGTGTGTGTGTGTGACTCACGGATAAAAGTAGAAAGAATCATGATAAATTCCCAGATGATGTAATATATCCGGGAATAGTGGCATTTCATTTATTAAAAATGAAGCTTTTAAATCGAGATCTCTCCATTTTCTAGGTGGCTGACAAGTATCAAAAGCTTAATTTTTGGACTTGTAAACGCGACCAGAATCAGTCCACGGGTGTACTTTGATCATGAAGCCATGTGTAATAGGTAGTAATTCAGGTATCATGATTTTTCTGCCGTTCTAAAATCAGAGATTCAGGCACCAAACCACCTACAAAAGGGGATTTGAACCCTGAGTCCCATAAGTCTTCGGCCGAAAGTCAGCCACATACGCTGGTTTCAGCCTTTCCAGTTGCTCGAGCCCCTTGAGAGTGAGAATAAGTTTAAAGGATTTGGGTGCCATCTGTGTCCCTCATTATAAGTGGTGTGTCGATGAGTCTGTAGGGCTCCAAAGTACTGGGATAGTAAAGACCTCAATACGACCAGATGGTCCAGTCTAGTGACATGACTATCATCTTGTTGACATGGTGACAGCCTTGATGCCATTGGGAAGATGTTTTTTGATCACAGGGCGGAAATACAATGGATATGCCCGGTGGTCCATGGTTTTGGTTGAATTACATGATCACAACACTGCCAAGAATGAGGCAACCAGACTATGATCCCATTCAGCCCAGCTTCCGTGATATGGTTGCATCAACAAACAATGCCGAAGGTCTTACGTTGTTCATCAAAGATGCAAACTATGGCCAAAATCTTTGCCAACCCTCGCTACATATGAAAAATTACAGGAGGTTAAGAAGAAGTACGAGCCCGATAACATCTTTGCTGACAACAAGGGAGGCTGATCATTTGACTAGAGGCAGTGGGCTCTGCAACTTTGTAGTTACTGGTGATTTGTGTTGATGCCCCGGAGAAGACGGGACGTCATGAGTATGTACTTCAATTTTGAAGGGTCTTGTTTATAGCCATCATACTATTGTGCAAGAGAATAATGCTTGAATAATATGATTGCGTTATAATTCTAGTAGCAAAATTTAATGTGGAACGTTGAATTTGTTTCAGATGAATGCTAATGTCGTGATGACAACACCTGCAATCTCATTCCCTCACCTCAGCAGAAATCAGCAGAAAGTATGGACGATGGCCCTCAGTGTTCCATTCTGCTTGACCTGCCACATTCTCCTTTGAAGCACACCAATCCTTCAATCCGGTTAACACAAATCCATTGTCAAGCAAAGCTGTAACATAGGTCTCAACAGTGTGATGATACTTTCTCACTCTCTCTGCTCCCAGCTAGCTAGACAAGCGCAGGCCCTCGCTGCTATAAGAATTTAATGGCCACACCTGCCGGTCTCTACCCTCGTCCTGTATCACCTTGTAGCCCGGCCCTGGATAGACTAGAGCAGTTCCAATGGGGTGTTCAACAGAGAAGATCAATCTCCCCCTTCGCTCATGGTCACCACCCTTTTTCAAACAGCCGTGGATTTCACGAAAAAGTCGCACGATATCCTCGATATAGTGAAAGGCCAGGGAACTATAAACCATATCATACAGCCCTTGCTCGGGCTGATGGCTCAAAGTTATAGTCTCCAGGTCGTGGATTTCGAAGACGACTTCTGTTGCAGGGGCTAATGCCAACGCCCCGTTTCGCGTTTGGGTACTGGTTTCAGTCTCAAACTCCTTTGTTCGGTTGATCATGTTTTGGGAAATATCGACTCCTTTGACGTAAAAAGCGCCTTTCTCACGGGCTCAGCAGACGAACCAGCCATAACCACACCCTAGGCCCAGGACCCGAGATCCTTATAGAGGGGTTTCTGATAGTTTTGTGGGAGAGGACTTGGGGTTGAGGATCATATCTTCCAGAATAGGCCATTCTGGTGCGGCCAGCAGACCGTGTTGAGATCGAGGGAGATTTCCGTACTGAATGAAGAACCCTGGGGTTGTCGTAAATATTTTGGGATTCGACAGGCATGATTGCGTGGTTAATCGGTACGTCGTTGAAAATGAGTAACTAGGTATCACTCAGTGGTCCGTTATTGAAGGTTATTGAGTGGGACAAAAGACCAACTCTGGAATAAACTAGCATATACTGAGTCCGATGGTGTGATGACGACTAATATTTAGCACTAGATACAGATACTAGTCATATGTTCTTACCCACTGCCCCACTTCAATTTGACCCGGCAACCAACCCATGTTTTTTTTTTTCTTCCTACACCACCCACACTGCTTTGAATCCAATGAAAATAGGACCAAAAAATAGCAAATCGGCGCAGCTTTCTACTGAGCAAAGAGCAGCCATTGTATACGCCTATAACAATGGCTCCACGCAGGTTCAACTAGCCGATGATTTTGGCTGTACCCGCAAGACTATTTTCAATACAATTAAACGCTACTCAGAGAATGAAAAATTGGAAAATCGTGAGAAAATTGGCCGTCCCCCTATGCTTACTGAACGAGCCTATCATCAAGTTCTTTTACAGGCCCGCCGGCATCCGTTTTGGACCTATAAACAGCTAAGTGCTACTATAGCCCGGCATCCATCACCCTCCACTATACGTCGGATTTTAAAGCGATTCGGACTCAGAAAACGGCGATCGAGACAGAAAATACCAATCAAGCCCTCTCTTACAAAAAAGAGGCTTAAATTCGCGAGGAAATGGCGCCGGGAAAGCTTTCAATCGTAGATCTTTTTGGACGAGTATTCGGTATAACGAACCTCGAACTTTGGACTATAATGGTGCTTCCGTACAACCTCAGAGGGCCTTAGAAAGGAACTTGTGAATGCTAAGGTTTATATTAAGGATATTTCACAAATGGTTTGGGCTGGAATCTGGCTTGGTGGTCGAACAAAATTAGTTATTATGGAACGGGATAAGGACTCACCTTCGGGGCGAGGTTATACTGCAAAGTCGTATATAGAAGCGCTTGAAAAAGGTCTGTTACCAATCTATACCCCTGGTATAGTATTCCAGCAAGATAACGCGAAGATTCATACAGCATTGGTGATACAAGAGTGGTTTGAAACCCACGGGATATACGTCGAGAGCTGGCCCGCGCACTCACCTGATTTAAACCCGATTGAACCGGTATGGCGCTGGTTAAAAGTGAAGCTTTTTGCATTATTTCCGGAGCTTATTAGCATGGGAAGAAGTGAGACTGACTGGCTTTATTTTAAAAAATGCCTAGTGGAAGCATGGGACGTATTAGATCAGTCGAAGATAGATGCATTGATATTGAGCATGGGGAGACGTTTGAGAGCAGTACGGAAGGCCAGGGGGTATTATACAAAATATTAAGCTTACTCATATTTTTATTTGAACTAATTAAACCTATAAATGGTGGTGTAGTGCAGTATGTAGTAGATATATATATTTGGTGAGGGAAGCCAGAAAAGTGGAGTGGGTAAGAACATACGGTAGGTGATGTATGTATAAAGCTAGCGGGATTACCCGCTTTGTATATTTCTTAATTGGGTCCCCGCTCTATTTTCACATCGCATAATTAATTCATGAGTAACCCAATCATCCATCTAGCTCATCTAATCTTTCTTGCTCCTGCCAAGATACTCTTTAGAAGATTTCCAGATGCCCCTCGCACCAATCGCAATATCCTGCCGTCCGTCATAAAGCGGGAAAATCACAACCGCCCCAAAGGCAGCGAACTGCCAAATGATGGCGACAACCACCCACCCTGCGAAGAATGATTTCGTGAAGATGTAATCGCGATACAGTGGAAGAGGCCAAGCAACGAACGTGATTAGGACGATAGCACCGAACATGTACCAGGCAATCTTGAGCCACCTGTACAGCTCTTTCAATGTTTCGTCGTCGAACGGGTGCTGAATATCATCGAGGCTGATTTCCGCGGAAGATGACGACGAAGCTTTCTTCGTAGGATTCTTTTCGCTGATTTCACCAATCTGCTCTGGATCGTTGTTGATGCTTTCTGGTTGACTGTCGGCAACCGGTTTCACAGATCCAGCGACATGCTTCGGGTCACTTGTGTGGTCTTCCTCGCTGCTCTCGTTCAATGTGCTTGTGTCTGAGGGCGATTGGATCTCTGCTTGATCTGCGAGCTCAATTCGAAGGAACACTCTCCAGTCGAACTGATAAGGCTTGTAGAGCGACAAGATAACAGAGTAAAGAGCCGGTGTGAAGAAGGAGGCGATGGCCGCATATAGCGCCGGATACGGATTTGAGGTGGTCGTGATGTCGATATGGTGGTACATATATTTCGTTGTTGCCAACCAGACAGCGAGACCTGTAAAGAAGCCAAGCACAGGAGAGATAATTGCAGCTATCCGGGTCTGCCGAGACCAGAACAAAGTGAGAATCATAGGAATGATTCCTGGGCATGAGATAATTGGTCTCAGGTATCCGATCCATGTCATGTTCGCTCCTCCATAGTTGAGAGCGATGGAAATACCGGTAATGAAGACACCGTGGATAACCACAGTCAAGTGGCTCACTCCCACAATTTGCTTGTCGGTAGCTTTCGGGTTGAGGTATGTCTTATAGATGTCATAGGACAAGATACTACTGACAGCAATCATTGAGGAGGAAACAGTACTTGTCAGAGCCATGAACAAAAGGAAGAAGAACCCAATGATTCCTTTGTCTCCGATCAGAGCTTTGATGGTGTATGGCATAACCATGCCCGAGCTGACTTCAGTGGCAGTAAGCAGACCAGGGTAGGTGGGGAAGATCGGTGTATCGTGAATTGCCCTCGTTGCCAAACCGATGACCGTGCCCAACCCCCAGGGGATACCGAAAACAGCCAAAGCTGCGATATTGTATCCTGGCACAGTGGCCTTGACCTCTGTCGCAAAGGACTTTTGCCAAAACGCAGTATCCTACGGATGACATATTAGCTTTGCAAAAACAAGAGGTTTTGTGGCTCTCAGTTGTCTTTCTAGAGACCAACCAAATATCGCCCTGTGAAATTGACTTACCATAACGACAAGTGCCAGGTTTCCAAACTTGAGAATCAAGCCCCAAATAATTGCATCTTTGGACTTGAATGTAAGGAGGGAGCCTTGATAGTTGTTGGGGATGTAATTATCCGCAGCTGTCGCAATAACTTTATCATACAAGCCACCCAGTCCACCAACCGCCGAGTTTGTTAAAACGGAGATTGTGAAATAAATGATGAGGATGAGTGCAATCGCTGTGTGCAAGAAGTCCGTCAGGAATGTGGCCTTGAGGCCACCCACGGCTGTATAGAGGACAACTATAAAGAAGTTAACTCCTGTTTTCCAAGACACCTTTATAAGGGGCATAAAACGAACCTCCGAGTGGAACAAGGATTGTTGCTGCTACATAGTGCATGCCAGAAACACCATGAATGAGCTGAGAGCCCGTCATAATCATCGAGGCGCAGCCGAAGACGTTGTTGACGAGGTTAAGCACGATAAACACGAGATGTCCAATTTTGCCATAGCGCATCCGGACAACTTCAAGCGATGTATGAGCATAAGGGACTCGAATTTTGGCCATCACACCGAGTGCCGCCATCAGTGCAATTTGGAAGCATAGACCAGATCCCCACCACTATGGCCCGTCAGTCATGCAAAATCATTTGAGGGTATAAGAAAACATACTAGAGGCACTGCAAGACCGTATCTATACGTCATAGCCGCGCACAATACTGTCTCGTTGATCCACATCCAGGAACTGAAGACTGCGGACGCACACAATCCTCTCCCTACCGAACGATTGGCGACCATGAACATTTCCGACTTTCCAGAATCTTCAGCAAGATACGCTTTCTGAACCTTCACGGCAATCAAAATTACTCCACAGAACACCACGCTGAGACCAATGAGAAGGCCATAGGCCGCCCCCTGGGGGATCAAGGCCAGCTTGGACGTATCTACCGTGTTCGACATGTCTGGGCAAAGTAAAGCCAAGTTCACAAGCGCAGGGCTGAGATATATTTATTGTCTGCAAGGTCCACCATATCTTTAGTGCCAAGCTTGTCTTAGTAGATGTGCAGCCAATTAGCGTTGTGTGAAGGATTGCGCAACAATCAGAGTTGCCATGTGGGGGATATATCTCACGTCGTCCATGTCCGCAATTGCGTTATGCGGAATGAGTAGGAGATACGCGCCTAAACAATCTAGACACAAGGTCATTGGAAGAATCGAAACAAACCTAATAAGCTCAACATGTCGTGGTTGTGGAAAATATGTGATGGTGACGGGGATTGTGGTGGGATTGCGTGCCTCGACTCCCAGATTGCGATAAAATGACTTGATATCGCGAACGACAAGGGTCATTGCGTACCCCACACAAGAGGCTAACTTATCGGCCGATATGGGATTCAAAATATTCATCGCATATGTCGAATGCGATTACCAATGGGAGATAAACCTTTGATCACACTGGTGCGATGGTGACAGCGCTTATGGGTATACGTCTGCCGGGTATGTATACCAAGCGGATCCCGTTACTCAAGAATCAGTGCTTCAACCTCAGTGCCTGTTTACAACATTAATTTACTGCAAATTCAAACAATTCCAGTTCAAAATGGGTGAAGTCGCACCAGCCTCCAGCAAAAAGCAGATCATCCTCAATGCTTTCGTTATGAATACCCCGGGCCATTTGGCACCCGGCCTATGGAAACACCCCAGAAACAAGACTGACCAGTACAAATCACTCTCATTCTGGACCGACCTAGCTCAGCTGCTGGACAAAGCCGGTTTCCATGCAATGTTTATTGCGGACACTCTGGGCGCGTACGATGTGTACAAGGGCCCTGGCAATGTTGTGCCCGCATTAGCATCAGGCGCACAGTTTCCCGTCAATGACCCATTGTACCTTGTCCCTGCCATGTCCGCTGTCACAAAGAACCTCATTTTTGGAGTGACTGCGAGTGTGACATATGAGAAACCGTATGCTCTCGCACGCCGACTCTCTACTGTGGACCATCTCAGTGAGGGTCGTGTGGCATGGAATATTGTCACGTCGTATCTGGACAGCGCAGCCCGAAACCACGGGTTGGATGAGCAGATTCCTCATGATGAGCGATACGCAAGAGCAGATGAATACCTCGAAGTACTATACAAGCTATGGGAAGGAAGTTTCCGAGACGACGCCGTGCTCGCCGACCGACAGCTCGGAACATACATTGCCAGCGATGGCGTGCGAGAGATCAACCACAAAGGGAAATATTTCAGCGTCCCTGGGCCTCATTTCTGCGAGCCATCGCCACAGCGCACGCCATTCCTGTTCCAAGCCGGTGTCTCCGAGGCCGGTGGTCAATTCGGTGGAAAGCATGGCGAGGCAATCTTCATCGGTGGTCAGACTCCCGAGGGTACTCGCTTGACAGTTGATAATGTACGGAATGTTGCCAAACAGCAAGGCCGTGATCCCAATCATATCAAAGTCATTGTGGGTATCAACGTGATTATTGCAGCCACAGACGAAGAAGCAAAGGCAAAGCGGGAGGAATATCTCAAATATGCCGACGATGAAGGTGCACTAGCTTTGTTTGGTGGATGGACCGGAATCGACCTGTCAAGTTATGCTGATGATGAAGACTTCCGATTCAGCAACTCGCCGCGGGTCCAATCCATTGTTCGGAGATGGTCTGCTACTGTACCAGGCACAGATAGCTTGCCGTGGACCAAACGGAGGATTGTAGAGTACATCAGTGTTGGTGGACTACAGGCTAAGATTGTTGGCAGTCCCACGACAGTTGCAGATGAGTTGGAAAAATGGGTGGAGATCTCCGACGTGGATGGTTTCAATCTTGCCCATATTGTGAATCCCGGGACTTTTGAAGATATTATTGAGTTCTTATTGCCAGAACTGCGACAGAGAGGGCTGTTCCGAGAGGAAATTGAGAAAGAAGGTGCCACAGCTCGTGAAGTTTTTATTGGGTCGCAGCGTTTGCCAGAAGATCATCCTGGAAGCAAGTACAAGTGGCGGGCAGGCGAAACCATTCCTCAGTATCAGACTAAGGAGAACTAAGTATTGCATCTATGTACAACTTGGAAGATAAATGAGTATCTGATGAATACACCCATGTAAGTGACAGGGATAAGCTCAATTATATCCGGAGGCCCCCGGGGCATTACAAATCAATCCAATATAAATACCAACTTGATCTGTTTGATTTCCAATTTCCACCAGTCCCAAATTCTAAAATGAAGGAAGCCATTATTGACAAGACCGTTTCGGTCATCATCCGTGACGTTGATATCCCCACCCCCGAACCCGGCCAGGTCCTCATTCGGGTAGTGGTGTCGGGTACCAACCCGAAGGACTGGAAACGCCCCAAATGGCGACCAGACAATGCCATTAACCAGGGAGACGATATCGCAGGTTATGTTGAGGCAGTGGGAGAAGGAGTCCGGAAGTTTCGCCAGGGAGACAAAGTGGCCGCTTTCCACGAGATGGGCAGCCCGCATGGAAGTTATGGCGAATACGCCATTGCATGGGAATACACGACATTCCATCTCACCGAGAAGACCAGCTTTGAAGGTATGTACTCCTACCTCCTAATAACCACATAATTTAACTAACGTATCGACCAGAGGCTGCTACTATCCCCCTCGCTGCGATGACTGCTGCATTGGGTCTATATCAAGCGCTGAAATTGCCTCTGCCTTGGTCTCCCGCCGATAAACCTACCCCGCTGGTTGTCTACGGCGGTGCCTCGGCGGTTGGCGCATTCGCGATCAAGTTCGCTCAGCTATCGAATATCCACCCCATCATCGTCGTTGCAGGCAAAGGGGCTCCCTTTGTAGAGACATTGATCAGCAGAGAGAAGGGAGACACAATCATTGATTATCGTGAAGGTGATGAGGCCGTCTACTCGGGGATTAAGGCTGTCGGCAAGGAGACACCCATTCACTATGCCTACGATGCGGTGTCTGAGAAGGGAAGCTATGTGACTCTCGGTGCTGCTCTCGATGCACCCGGGAAGATCACTGTCATTCTACCCGCAGAAGCTGATAAGGTGAAGGAGCAAATTAGCATTCACCGGACTATGGTGGGGTCTGTTCATACGCCCCCTGCTGAGGGCCAGGCCCTTGGCAATAAGGAGTTCGCAGCTGCTTTCTACCAATTTATTGGTCGAGGTCTGGCCCAGGGTTGGTTCTCGGGCCACCCATATGAAGTAAGAAAAGGTGGACTGGGAGGTCTGGAGGGTGCATTGAAAGATCTGGAGGCTGGTAAGGCCTCTGCGGTCAAATATCTGATTAAGATTGCCGAGACTGAGGGAGTCCAGCAGTAGCATGATCGTGAGTTAGTCTATGAATGCCATGAGAATTGACGCTACAAAATGTATGCCAAGCCACATCGGGATTCATAGATCGGAAATTTATAGATCGGGATCGAAATGACATCACCGATGAATTCTCCATGTCGCGCGGCGTAGACATTCTTCCTCGATTGTGATTCCCAATACTTAACACCTTCTCATTCCACAATGGCAAAACGCACCCTGGACGCATTCTTCAGGCCATCAATCACCACTCCAAAACGTCCCAAAATCGAACCCAACGAATCCAACACCGCAATCCCAACTGCAGAGCCAAACAATATCCCAATCGAAGACACACGACCCCCAAGCCAACACCCAAGCTATCCATTCCCAATCGCCCAACTTCCTTCACACATCGAAGTAGGTCTAGAACACGCAACACCAGCAGCCGCACCGCGTGAACTAAACAACCAACCACATCTCGACCTCCTGCACTTCCAGCCATACATCCCCCGCCCAACAGCAAACGAGCTATTCAAATTCCTCCGTCGTGAACTCCCCTTCTACCGCGTCCAGTACACGGCACGACGGGGCGACATCGAAACGCAAATCAACACACCACGATGGACAACAGTCTTCGGAGTCGATGAGACATCGACATTCATACAAGAACAAGACAACAACCCCGATAGCCTGGTTCTCCTAGAAACAAATACCAAACCCCCGACCCCAAAAACGAAATATCAGTGCACGCCGCGCCCAATCCCAGCTTGTCTGGATCTCCTACGGAGACAGGTCGAAGCGGCGAATGCCACCACAGATAATAAACACCCGGGCTACAATTTCTGTCTAGTAAATTACTACGCCAGCGGAGACGACAGTATAGCATTCCACTCCGATGACGAGCGCTTCCTCGGTCCCGATCCGAATATCGCGTCGCTGTCGCTGGGCGGTGAGCGGGATTTTCTAATGAAGCATAAGCCTTTCGTGCCCGGGGGAATTGTGAACCGGACGGCGGGTGGGTGCATGCCTGATGCTGCACATGCAATCTCCGGGCTGGGTGGTACTAGTGCGACGCGGGGGAGCTGTACGGTTTCCGGTGGGACATCGAATTCGAATACCGTCTCTTCGCTTGGATCTAGGCCTGCTGCTACGGTGCCACTGCAGCAAATCAAGATGAGTCTTGGGTCAGGCGATATGGTTGTTATGCGCGGGGCGACGCAGTCGAATTGGTTGCATAGTATTCCTAAACGGAAGGGGAGGGCGGGGGAGGCGACGAGGGGGCGGATTAATATTACCTTTCGGCGGGCTATTGTTCCTGGCGGGACCAATAATTATTATCATTATAATGTTGGTAGTGGGGGAATGTATCGATGGGATGAGATAGCGAGGGAGATGGTTCTTCGAGATAAGAAGGTATAGCTACACGGTAGCTACCCTGTATATGATTGAACAGGAATAAGATTTGAACGAAATAGAATATACATGGGTGCCGTAGCACGAAAGGAACATTGAATGTCTCATCCTCTTGAGTGGGACATACAACTCAAGGTGAGACAGATGATATCACTGTGATAGCCATCCCGGCACATTTCAGTCTTTGTACATTTGCTTCTGACAGAAAAAAAATAGACATTGAAGCAAGTCATCATATGGCATTGGCACTGCGTCTTCCCAGTAACCATGGTAATTCTCCCCTAGGGAGTTCCGGCAAGTGCCGGGTAATAAAGAAACGTATTCCGGTTGAAATACAAGAGAGCTATCGGCTGTTGTAGTAAGAGGAATGACTTGAAATGATCAGTAGTTAAAGATAACTTCTTCACCGTAGACATCTGCGTAACATTGGAACAAATCAGGGCAGCTGCAATCAAACATGTTAGCTTGGGAAATAAAACAATTGCTGGACAACTTACAAGACAGGGTCCTTGCCGAAAATGATGTGCCATGAGTACTCCATAATGTTGGAGGTAGCCTCGTCTGGCAGGTCATTGTTCATCACCCAGTCATACATGCGCTGGTAATCGCTATGGGGGCGCTGGAGAATCTGCTCTCGGGAAACGGCGAACTGGGAGCAGCACGGGCCAGCGACTTCGCGGGGAACCGGCTCACCGGGGAAGAGCTCTTTCCAGGCAGCAGCGTAATGTGGCTCGCCTGGGCTTTCAGGATTCGGGGGTTGGCGGAATGGTTGAATGGCGGTGGGACATCCTGGGCTCAATTGACAACGCAAGTTGACAAATCCTGCCTGTTGAACGAATTCTTTCTGCAATGCGCGCACTGAGTCCACGTTGCTGTAATCCATGGTGTCGATGTGCCAGCCGGCGATTACGCCGTCGCGGTGGCTGTGCAGGAAGACCACGATGTCTGGGAGGTCGTTGTAGTGGTCGATCAGGTATTGGAGGTAGGGGAGAGCTTCGCGGCCCTTGTTCTTCGGGGTGTGCGTCGGGGCGTTGGTATCGTCGACGGTATAAATGATGCTGCGCCATCTAGAGATATTCAATTAGCCTGCCGTCTTCTGGAAACATAATCGAGCCACACTCACTCTGCCAGTTCTGCGCCGACCCAAGCAGTATCATCCTCCTTGCGCTTGGCCATCACAATGGCACCCTGGTTCGGAACCACGATCTCGGTGGTCTGGTAGACCAGAGCGGGTTTATTATCCGATGCAACCCGCCATTTCCGTTGTGATCCCGTATCAGATTGAGGTTTTGGTCTGAGAGATGTGCGGAAAGAGCCGGTATCGAAGTGCCATAAATCCTGAAGTGATTCACCTTTGCTCTTCAGACTGCGATTGACCAGGACAAGGGTCAGGATAATTAGTGCGGCAGCGGCACTAACACGGATTGACAACCTCATCGCATTACGTGGTTTTCGAGATCGAGGGAGAAGGTAAAGGGGGGGTAAATGTAAGAGGAGAAAGATGGGAAGAGGCCAGTGTCTCAGAACGCGCAATCTTAAAGTAATAAGCACCGACCCATGTGGAGGTCGGATCAAACTCACTCGCGTACTCTGAACGCGAGATGACGAAAGTGCCGAATCAAGGGATGAAGGACTTCGAGAAGGAATGGAATTGGGACCTCGGGAGAACCTTCAAATAAAAGATCCTTTATCCAAGGGAAAATGGTTAAAAAGGAAGGGAAAAAAAAAAGGAAGTCGGCGCTTTCCTCATTCGGGAGAGGGGGCTACCTCTGTTTCTGGTTCTGATCCATTTTCGGCCATTTAGGTCATTTTGATTGGAGGAATTGAGGATTCTCGGCCTATCTGCTTGAGGTTAATTTGATTCTGTATTTTTGTATTTTTGTAATTTTTTATTATATTTTAATATTGTTTAATTTAATCATTTCAGGGGTACGGAGTACATAATGCTTACTCCATGTTATAGACCCTTAATATCAACCTGATCCAACTGTACACGTATATTCCTAAAATTTCTCCATTGGACCCTATATATGACACATGTTCTATGCAAGGGTGTTTTGACTAACTGCAGCTCAATTTTTCAGTCCGATACATCCCAACGCCAAAATCAAAACGGGTATGACCAACGCCAAATGCTAAGACATCAACCCGAAATTAAACCAAGACAACCCCAGGCTACATAATAACCAAGACAATCAGCCGCGCGCCGGCAAAATATTCACATCAAAATATTCCGTCTCAGGTGCCACCCGACCAACCACACACCGCATACTAGGCAAAACTGACAACGTCCCCCTCTCAACCGCCCGATGCTGTTCCGCCAGATGCGCCATGAAGATATCCAGGTTTCCATAAACCTGGGTCGACCCCTGTGCCGTCGCGCAGCAAAAGACACAACAAAACGTGCCGCGGGGAGCATTAGAATTAAACCGTGACGCTGAATCTCGCTTACAAGGCACGTGGGATTTCGCCAAGAACTCGAATCGATAACGGATACCGCTGGCTTTGTGCGTACGTACGCTGTCCTCAAATTGCGGGTTGTGGCTGGAACTCTTCGGGGCCATAGGTGCTTCAAAGGCGCACTTCGTGCACCGCAGCCATAACTGTTGGGTGTAATATCCTGTTCCGGGCTCAGAGTATATCTTGAAGCCCCGGAATCCTGAGTACACTTTCCATGCTCCTTTGCAGAAACCCAGGTAATTATTTGTTTTGCTGGGTGGCCAGAGAGGTCGGATTGCTTGGGTCGGTCGGTCGGTACTGCTTCGGGTGGAGGGGTTTGACGGGGTGGAGTCTGTGGAGGCGGTTGAGGTTGCGGAGAGGGAATCGTGGCGGGGTTGCGTGGGTGGAGGGATGGTGGGCGAGAGGTGGTGGTTTTCTTCGTTGATCGGAGCATAACTGATGGCGTCCTCGTCGTCGGAGTCTATGTGGCTTTCGTGCTTCCACGGGTTCCCCACTAAGACATCGTGGGGTATTGAGCTCGATCGTGGCTTGCGTATGGGCGGCGTCGCTGGTCTGACATCGAATTCTGGAATCGGCTCTGACGTCGACGGCGACACTGGGTTGTACACTCTATTTTGTGGTGCGTGCGCGGGCTCGGGCGTTGACGATGGAAACGACGGCGTTCTCCCGTGACCTGGGCGGGGATGAAAAAAGTCGCTCATACTACTCACAACTGAGCCAAAGCCTGATGACGGTCTGTGAGACGGTGGACTCGAAGCCCCATAGTCTCTCGATATCCCCAGTGTATCCGTTGGTGAGATGCAGACGTCTGGTAGGATCTGGCCTGGTGAATAGCTGGCTGGTGAGACAGGATATCCGCCCGGGGGGTACCCCATGTCCAGCGTGTGGGGTGACCAGTATCTGTCGGGGCCATTGGGAGGATATCCCCGGCCATAAGAATTCATCATGCGATAGTTTGGATCAATGGGCATGGAAAACGACGGCGGAACAGGTGATGGCCGCGAGAGACGCTGGTATAAATCTCCCAAAATGACGAGAGTGCGAACGCGGCCCTGGTCGGACTCTATCTGCAACGCCATTAAATCCGGAGTGGTCCCCTGCTCCTGCGCCTCGCGGAGGTGTCTCAGCAACGCCCCCTGTAGTGTGATGATGATATCTTTCATATGCTCACGAGCGATCGAGTCACCTTGCTCGTATCGTCGACCAAGCTCTCGACTGTGCTGATTAAACTGATATTGAATATCAGTACGGCCGCGTGCGAGCGACCATTCTAGTTCCCGAGTGGACTGGCGCTCGTGGTATTTCTTCCTAATAGCAGTAAACATGCTCGCTCCATCGCTGTAGGCGGAAACGACTGTTTGTCGATTTGGGTTAGTTATGGATTTCCCATATATTGATAACAGGAGAGTGGATGGTCTTACTGGCTGCCACACATGCTACGACCGCGATCACCTCCACCCCCGACATGGTGAGTGAGATTGAATTTAGGATATATGGGACTGAGAATGGAATACGAAGCACCGCGGTTCGTTTCAAAATCAAATGATACAGTAGTAAAAAGATGGACGGTTGATATTTTTGGATATAAAACAAAAAGCTTGGGGGAGATAAGAACAGAGAGAAGGAATGCCCAGAAAAGGGACGCAGTTGGCAAACAAAAAAAGAAAAGTGACCTTGGCCCAGAGTGACGCAGACATGGACTCGATTGGAATCGACAGGTACTTCTGATAGCAAAAGCACAGTCCACCCGGTTCTCTTTGGCGCTACTCTTTAACCAATGGAAAAAGAAATTCTCCGTTATAAGCGAAGTGAGGGGTTTTAACCTCGGATTTGAGTGAGCCCTATTTGGAATTATCACCCGGGTGCAGTGCATAATCTTGTTGCCTATGTGCTGATATAGTACGGAGTAGAAACATAAAAGATGTACATTCTTATAGAAGCATAAAGATGCAAATCAGTGGGACATCTACGATCGGATCCACAATCTCCACAATCGAAGTCTAGAGACGATCCTTTCACATACAATGCTGATTGCATGTGGCTTATAATGTCGTTGCTCATTGAACAAACGAACAGAACCTTCATTCATGCATAACTGACCAAAGCAAGGCACCAACACCGCCTAACCAATCCGAGCCCTAACTACACTATTCTAACCTGTACATCCATAGATAACCAAACAAATAATCAAACAAAAGTAGAAAATCAACGCTAGCTCAAATGCAAAGAGAAGAGAAAAAAAAAACAGAATCCAACCCCCCATCACAGCCAATGATCAACAACAGCGCCCCTTATTGCGCGACGAACGCATAACGCGCTCCTCCTCGGGGCCCTCGATATTGACACCAGGTGCCGTCAACCCCATCCAACTCCTCCTATTACTACCATGACCGAGCCGGAAACTCCCCGTACCCTCAACAACCCCAGGATTAAAAGGCCCGACGACCCCATTAGCCATAGGTGTACCAGCAATAGACATAGCCAGCTCAGTATCGCGCCGATTACGCTGTTCGACCAGCTTACGCGTGATAACGCGGAAGACCTCATCGATTCCCTCGCCATCCCGCGCGCTGATCTCATGACAGCAATCCCACCCAATCTCCTGCCCCCAGAATGCCGAACTGCGCTTCGAGTCCGGACTCTGCAGGGCTGCGGCGCTGGCGCTAGCGTTCGATGTGCTGCCTCCACTGCCTCCAAAGACAGATGTTCCAAACCCGAGGCCGCCCATGCCTGCTGTTGCGGTTGGTGGCGGGGTGGAGGCTTGGGTTGGATATAGTTGCTCGGCAACGTAGGCGATTGTGCGCTCGAAGGGGACGCGGCGGCGGGAGGGGTCGTCGGCAACAATGTCGGACTTTGTACCTACGACATGGATGATGAGGGAGTCTGTGCCGTCGTCGTTGGGTGTGATGTTCTTGCGGAGTTCGCGTAGCCAGCCAGCCATTTCTTGGAAGCTGTTTTGGTCGGTGATCTGTGTAGCCAGTTAGTATTAGTGGTTATCTTGGTCTTATTCTGTATGTTGTGCATGTATAGGCGACAAACACAGTTGAAAAGCAGGCAACAAAAATGAAGAGGGGAAAGAATCCGTGGAAGTGTGGGGATGCACTGACATCATAGCACAGGAGCACTGCTTGGGCTCCTCGATAATAAAGTCTCGACATGCTGCGAAACCTCTCCTGTCCAGCTGTATCCCATATCTGTAATCTGACTATTGTGTCGGAGGTGGAATCGAGGACGCGCTTTGTCACGAACGACGCGCCGATGGTTGAAGCCGCTGCGGGGTTGAAGGTGTTTTTACAGTATCTCTCCACGAGCGCTGTCTTTCCCACCCCTAGTTGTGATTAAGGTTAGTACAGTATTTAGTTGAGTTTCCAATCTCGAGTATATAGATTGGAAACCGGGCACTCCACATACCCTGTGCTCCAAGCACAACGATCTTAGCTTCAAGGCTTGAACTCATGTTTCCCCGAGGTTGAGGAAGCGGGGGTCAAGGTTTTGTATTCGCATGATATATTAACAGAAGTCAACTTCTTTGACAACTGACGCGAAAGAAATCAGGTCAAAGAGAGATTTCAAAGAGAAATGAAAGAAAATAAAAAGCTGGGGATGTTCCGGGCGGTATCAGCCGATGGCTTCTTTCTTGTTCACGAGGTCACCTGCACGTGTCTTGGATAGCAAAATATTAAATGAAAGGGAGGAAAGGGTTCAGAAACTATAAACCCGACTAATTTATCTCACAGTCGTGCAGTTGGTTGACAAACTGGGATTTATGGCCCCTGTATATAGGCGGACAAAGAGCTGCATCACGTTCTAAGCTGTCAGCCTACTAATTATTATATTTTACATACAACATAGTTGATTGGTTTGCCGTTGGGGCAATTATACTTGTGATTCCACGAATTATAGTTTTAATTGCGACTATGAATGGCCCCCTTGCTCTAGGATCTATCAGCCTCATGCAAGGCAGCACCCGCTCGAGTCACCATCAAACTCAACTCCGGGCAGGTTAGACATGAGCATATGCAGGGACATTATTACACTACAATTCACAAAAATAGTCGGCCGCGTTTGCGGCTTTGTGATGTCTTTTTAGCTAGTCTTTTTAAATATCCTGTGAGACATTTGTGAAGGTGCTAATAAAGCATACTTTGTGCACGAGACTTTTCTATGTATAATCAGGGACATATATGTAATCTCAGGACCAGTGAAATGGACGCAGGAAATGGCGACTTTTGGCGCCAGAAACGGCTGCCTTTACCCGTTCGTATTAGGAAGCACACGGCGTCATTTTCACCCCGAGATGTGGCATTCTACGTACCGATAAGCAGCTATCTACATCACGTGCAGACTCTATCTTTGACTCATTGGAGGTACATCTTGCACCTCGTAACACTTCAAGATGGACGAGGTCAAAAAGATATCGTAAGATATCCCAATTTAGATATCCCAACTTACGGTCACTCTGTATACAACTAATATAAGTCAGGTGCAAACGCTGTCAGGCTCGCAAGATCAAGTGCAGTCGGATTCTGCCATGCTCAAATTGTGTTCAATCGAATCATGAATGTGAATATCGCCAAAACGATGCTCGGCGCCGACCCGTATCTCATGAATACCTCAAATCACTAGAGACTCGACTAGTATGGTATGAATCATTCGTGCGGGAATTAAAGACCGCGTCCAATGAGGAACGAGATGTCATGCTACGTGAGTTATCTATAAACGAGGATAGTCTGGATATTATACCAATGCCCTCATGTGGAAAATCATCCACTCAAAATACTGGGCGTCTTAAATATGGATCATCGGGTATGAAACGATCACATCGCAATGACCTTTTTTAGCCGTCAACCAGATTGATATACCCACTAGGCTCTCTGCAATATCATGGCCCTACAAGTATATATGTTGATCCCCAAACCAACAAAAGCGAGCAAATATTGCAGCCTACATCATTTTCAGCTCATGCGGATGACATGATCAAGTTGCGTCTAGGAAAAACTCTCGGGGTCAGCCAGGCACTTATCCAAACTTGCCTCCCCTTGTTTTTCCTCTACCAATACCCCCAGCTTATGTTTGTCTACCGTGAGGCTTTTCTGGCAGACTACTTTGAAAATACATATGGTGGCAAGTATTGGTCTTATGCATTGGTGTTCGCTACCTGTGCTCTGGGGGCTCCGCATTCGCCAGATATGAATATTCGCAACAAGGCGGGCATAATGGCGAAATGTGCTAAGGAGATTATCATTACCTATGAGTTGAGCTTTCCAACCCCCGTAACCATTCAGGCTCTGTTTTGTTTGGCGTTCCATGAAATTGGACAGGGAAATACATCACAAGGGTGGCTCTTTGCTGGTAAGGCTGACCATTATACTCTGCTCTCCCTTGAAAGTGTTGCTGAGAACTTCAGGAATGGCTTTTCGAATGGGCCAAGATATTGGATTTCATCGTGACCCTACAAATTGGGTATCTCAAGATCAATCTATTACTACTGCACAGGATGTTGAGATCAGACGGAGAATATACTGGGGTTGCTATGTGGTCGACAAGTAAGCCATTCCATTCTCAGGGGCTGTGTCACTGTTGTGCTAATATGTCGCAGGTTTATGAGTTTATATCTTGGGAGACCGGTGTACCTTAGCACTAAGGATGCCACTGTTCACCCTAGTGAGCCACTAGCGTATGTTTTATATGAATCTACATCTTGGACTCAAGTTTTCTGATAAACCCTAGTGACTTTTCACCGAATCATGAGTAGTTCGGTCTTTTTGACCTCACATTAACTCATTCGAACTTCACCTCCGCGCAAAGACCCCAATTACTTAATGCCCTAAAATATAACGTTCAACTTGGGGATATTTTCCAAAACATTATGGCAGATGTTTTTTCCCAACGATCTCAGGAGGACGTTTCAATATCCGTTTATAGACTAAGCGAATTGAACATTCGCCTTAATCGGTGGCTGCATGATCTTCCAGAACACCTTCAGTGGAGCCAGTGGACTGCACAGGAAAGACAATTGCAACATCATACTATCAGCCTTCAGTATGTTTACCCCCAGATTTCCCATCTTCTATGGCTCACAGTATCAGTCTATTCTATCATAGTATTTGTCTCTCCCTCAACCGTCACTTTATTGACAGCCCTTCAGATGCAGCTAAAGAATCATCACGGGGGGTCTGTGAGGCATCATGTAACTCTGTGATTGCCATGGTTCGACAATTTAGGAATCAACATGGAATGCGGACTTCGCCGTTGATTATGGTTTATGCATTGGTCACCGCCAGCATTGTTTTCACCAAGGTCTTTGGTATATGTCACCGTATTTTTTTCCTGCACAAAAGAGATATCCTAATAAATTATTATAGCCTAGTCAAACACATCGCCCACCCCGCAGCTTTCATTCCTCCTCAAAGCTCTAGAGGAATGTTCGAATGTGTACAGGATTGCAGCGGAAGTTCATTCAAGTCTGAGGGCTGTTGTTGTTAACCAGCGACGCGCCCAGCCCTCCTCGCATTTGCATGTCCCCGGGCCTGATTTTCCACCAGAGAACTCAGCCGAGTCGAATGCTTTCACTTCAAGATCGATACACAACGACTACCAATCATCAGCAGACTCAAATAACGAACTTCGGGTACCATCAACGCCATCGCTCGAAATTTTCAATGAGCAAAACCTCCAAGGCTCTTGGATTGATGATTCATTACAAGATACATTGAACTGGGATGGTGTTACCCTCGACCTTGGCCAAATGGATGGTGATTTCCGTGGGTGGTTTTCGCTGGGAAACGATTCATGATAAGTACCTATAAGAACTCATCGACGTGCTTTTAAGCGTATGCTTTATTCAAAAATAATATTAAGCAACGGCTTGACTAGCTATCTCCTCATTGTGTCCAATTCATTCGCAAGGAATGCCCTTCTCCAACCCCCTCAGAATAGAATCTCCCAAGACTCTCACATCGGCCACATTGTTATAGAATCCAAAGGATACCCTTGTTCCACGGCGATAGTGGGATAGTAAATCCCCTCGGCCCGGAAATGTGTCGCCCAGTCTGGATGAAGCAATGCAAGGACGTACAGATGTGGAGCCCGCTCATCGGCAGATTTACTACCCACGATCCGGACACCGAGTGGTGTCAAAGCAAGAGCGAGTTCGCGGCCTAGGGCCCTAAGATGGGCTTCGATTATTTTCATGCCAATCTCATCACAGAGGAGACCGAGTGACTCATTCAGTGAGACAGCGCCAATAAGAGATATATTTAGGTGACTGTATCGCTGGGTTGAGGAATGATACTGGACATTTGAATCGGCGATCAAATTAGACGGGATGTTGGAAATGGAACCCGCCCCAGTGATAGGAGGCGTCTTCTTCAACGAAGACAGAACACTCGGATTGATGTACAGCGCACCTAGGCCACTGGGGCAGCCAAGACCCTTGTGACAACCGAATGCAGCAGCCGAGACATCCCATTCAGTCAGATTGATGGGAGAAACGCCCACATGCTGTGTCATATCGACCAGAACATGCACACCTTGAGGACGGAACCTAGCACATATATCTTGAACATTGTTCATTTGCCCATTGTGGAACATAATGGAGGAAAGACCAATGGCGATGGTGTTCTCATCGACAAAGGGTACAAATGTGTTTGCATCGGCGTAAGTCTCGTCCTTGGTGTCGATTCGACGGACCTCAAGTCCCTGCTCAATCAGCCCCAACCAGCCGTAAACATGGTTCGGATGTTCACCCTCAAGCAGTACAACGTTTGATCCAGGTTGAAAGGGGATGGAGCGTTGAAACAGATTGAGACCCTCAGTAGTGTCTCGGGTAAAGGTGAGGGAATCTTTGGGAACGTTCAGGTAGGACGCAAGAGACCCCTGAGCTTCTTGGGCGATGGATTGCCAACCAGACTTGGGATCGGGAGTTCCAACGGCTTGATCGAGAAAGTTATCTATGGCTGCGCGAACTCGAAGATTCATGACAGGCTGAAAAGAAGCATTGAGGTAATGGACATCTTCTCGAGTAACAGCCGGAACCAAAGTCCGATATTTGGAGATGTCATTCTTAGCGGAAGGCGAGAACGAACTATCCGTGAAAGTAGACGTAGATTGATACATAGTAATCGGACTCATGGTGGATGGAATTTTGATTTGAAATTGAGGATTTCTGTACTTTCACCTAAGAGACATCACATCGGGCTATATAAATACTCGTCGAGGCTATACAAATAAGCTATAGTTCTCGAGAGTTCGGCGTTGCCACTCCGCTCTGTACTAAACCTCACTTCCATACGAGACCAATCAAACCCGGCAGGATAAGGAATCCCATAGATCGATAGGCAAGGTTCTTGGCCTCGGGTATAGAGATAAAAGTCAACTCGTGTTGATTGGACGGACTTTGTCCTCCGTAATGCGGGGATTCACGTTATCGGCTTATCATCCTATCAAAATATCCATAGATATTTGTATCTTGCCTAATTTGATTAAGACCACCTACTACAAATATGCTCATATGGTACGCAACCTAATATGAATTTCCTAAATCACCATCTAGATTGATTCTGAAGTTACGTCGAAAATGCCCCAAATACCAGAAAAGGTAATTCTCCAAGGACACGATTCCATTGACGATGCAGAAGGGCAGATGGAACAAATCCCGATGCAGCAACTGCGTCGTGACTTCAAGTCCCGCCAAGTGAACATGCTCGCTATTGTAGGTGCTCTCGGTACTGGTCTGATTATCGGTACTGGCACAGGACTGTCTAGGGGCGGACCTGGCAGCTTACTCATCGCCTACACCGTTACCGGGGCAGTGATATACTTTGTCATGACTGCTATGTGAGAAATGGCATCTTTCTTGCCTATGGAAAGCGGATTTAACGGATATGCGTCTCGCTTTGTGGACCCTGCTCTCGGGTAAAGTTCCTTTCTTCTGTTCGTCTTAGATGCACAACTCATTCGTGCAGCTTTGCCACAGGATGGAACTACTTTCTCAAGTACGCTATTGTACTAGCAAATAACTTGACGGCCGCTGGCTTGGTCATTCAGTGTTGGAGGCCGGACCTGAACGTCGCAATTTGGGTGACTGTATTTGCGGTAGTGGTCATTTCAATCAATGTACGCTTCCCAAGGTTGACTCGTTTTATCCGCGGACCGTAACTAATGAAACTAAGGTTTTGCATGTCGGCAGCTTCGGTGAAGCTGAATTTATGCTGTCCTCCATAAAGATCATTGCCCTTATTGTCGCCATGTTAACCTGTCTCATTGTGTCCCTCGGGAGAAGCCCTAACCACCAACGTGTCGGATTCCGGTACTGGAGCGAACCGGGGGCATTTACAGAGTATCTCGAAACCGGCCCAGTCGGGAAATTCCTCGGTTTCTTTGCATGTCTAGTTCAGTCTTGTTTCGCGTATACTGGAACAGAAGTTGTTGGAGTCGCTTTTGCCGAAACCCCTAATCCACGACGCAATATTCCTAGAGCTATCCGGCAGACTCTGTGGAGAATTTCTGTTTTTTACATTTTGGGTGTATTTCTTCTCGGAATGGCGGTGCCTTACAACAACGATCTTCTTATTGGATCAACGAAGGCCAGTACCGGGGCATCGGCATCACCGTATGTCATTGCTATGAAATTGGGGAATATCGGCGTTTTACCCGACATCATGAACGCTGCTATTCTGGTATTTGTGGTGAGCGCTTCAAACACTGGTAAGTTAATTGCATGACCCAAGTAAAGAATGCACCGTTTAATGATGGCCTCAAGACATTTACGTGGGTGCACGTACACTTTATTCGCTTGCAAAAGAAGGTCATGCCCCGAAAATCTTCACACGCACTACGAAAAGGGGCGTGCCCATTTATGGCGTTGCGGCAACGTCTATGTTTAGCCTTCTTGCTTATATGAACGCAGCCAAGTCTGCTTCTACAGTGTTCGGATATTTCGTGAGTCTAGTGACAGTCTTTGGGACTTTGAACTGGGTCAACATCCTGGTCTCGTACCTAGGATTTCGCCGCGGAATGAAAAAACAAGGGGAAAGTCGAGAGCAGCTTCCATACAAAGGACCTTTACAACCATATGGTACCTGGTTTGCTTTAGCCTTTACTATTATCATCATAGTCTTCAATGGCAAGTCATCCCACTGTGCAGCTAGGTAATATGGACACTAACTGTGATAATCGTAGGCTACAACGCCTTCATACCACACTTCAAACTCGCCAATTTTCTCACATCTTATATTGGAGTTGCAGTTTATGCGATCAATATCGTTTCTTGGAAGATCTTTGCTCGAACACGACATGTCAAAGCCGAGGAGATGGATCTCATCACAGGGCGACTGGAGTACCAACAAATTGAGGAGGCAGAGCGTGATAACCAGACAACAAACGAAAAAAACGAGGAGAAGTTGGCATAGCACAGCTGTCAGAGAGCTGAAAGTAGATTTGTATCAATGGGGTAGATCACAACTGATGCCAGCGAGTTCTTTGCATGTGCGTTCTATGCTACAGATAGAGGTACGAATAACAAGATTGATCGCTGCGTGGACCAGGCTACCATGCCCAAATGAATTTCGTACGCAGATCAGTTCCATGCACAAAATTCCTCCACGTAAGCTTCTAAACTAGCAACACCTATACAAACAAACCCAGCTACTATATACGGCGGTCTTAAAAGAGATCGATGGGCCGTTTACTTTCGCCGTTTAAGGTCTCGTAACCGTCAGGGGCACAAAACGGATGGGTATTACGCGGCTTGGCCCAAGAAGGCAAAACTACGTAACTCGAATAGGCAATTCACAGGCCTGCGGTTTACATGGAAAAGATTAAATATGATATTTGTTTGTTCTCTAGAATTTTATCATGCAAAGCACATGTACATGAAGCTGAGAATCCCCACGCCCGACCGAACCATTTTCGGAAGTTATCAAAAAAACAATAGCACCGCACTTTGAGTGCAGACAGGATCATCCACCGGCATCAGGGCCAGGGTGTCATCCTCCAGGCCAGAAACAATGGGTATATAATGTCAAAGGAAATAAGAAAATAAAGGGAAAAAATAGAAGAAAAATGCGTATCTGGCGTTAACCTGTCCATTGGACATAGGCAACAGCACAGCCATAACGTTGAGAAATGGCAGCGCACAGCGCTGTCACGCCAGCAACTTGAAACACAGCCGCTTAACGGGGCTCATAGAAATTCTAGGTCTCAAGAGAGGTCCTTGGAGTTCTCTGTCTCCTCGTGGACTTCCTTGCCATCGCTGGACGTGCTGCGAGGGGAGCCCTTCTCACCGGCGTTCTCCATATCACCCTGGCGGCGGCTAGACTCGAAGCCATACTCAGCAGCCTTGGCCTCAATCTCCTCGTCGGTGAGCTTAGGCAGCTCCTTGGCAGCCTTGACATAGCTCATATTCTCGCAGAAGCCCTTGGCGAAGATGAGATCGATTTCCTCCAGACTGCGACCAGCGGTCTCGGGGTAGAAGAGGATCATGGGGGGAATGAACACGAAGTTCATCACGGCGAAGAACAGGTAGGTACCCCAGGAGATACTATCAATCATAACCGGGGTGATCATAACGACAGTGAAGTTGAACAGCCAGTTCGAGCAGGTGGAGACGGCATTGGCCTTGGCACGAGTACGGAGAGGCGAGATCTCGGCGGGGTACAACCAGGGGAGGGGAAGAATAGAGGCACCGAAGAAGGACATGTAGAGGAACAGACCGAAGACGGCACCCTTAGAAGGTCCAGTCTGATCGGGGATCAAACAAGCGAAGACGATGATCATAGAAACCATCTGACCTGTCATACCACCAATGAAGAGCTTGCGGCGACCAATCTTCTCAATAAAGAACCAGGAGAAGGTGGCGAAGATGGCATATACAATCATGTTAATGCCACCGATGAGCATGGACATGAACTGATCCTGACCAAGAGACTTCTTTAGGAGGACAGGCAGGTAATAAATCACAGCATTGCAACCAGACAGCTGCTGGGCGATTTGAGACGAAGAACCGATAAGCATGCGGCGCAGGTGCTGGGTCTTGCCACCAGTGAGAAGATCAGAGTAACCAGCACCGGCAGCAACACCAGCAGCCTCGATGGATTCGATGACAAGCTGCTTCTGGATTTGGGTCTCGTGGGAATCAATTTCGTAACCACCGAGAGCAGCGAGCACATACTCACCCTCGTGGACCTTACCCTTGGAGATGAGGTAGCGAGGGGAGTCGGGCATATAGTACATGCCAATGATAATAATAAGACCGAAGAAGATCTGGAACCCAATGGGGAAACGCCAGACAAGGTCATCAGGACCGTAGGAGGCACCAAAGTCAATCCAGTAGGCGATCATTGTACCAATGGCGATGATACCACCCTCGATACAGATGAGAAGACCACGGTTGGATGAACGCGAGCACTCGGCCTGGTAGGTAGGGATAGTCGAAGTGTTCATTCCGTTTCCAATACCAGTGATGATACGGCCGACAAAGAACTGGGCAGTCGCTCCGTGGCCCTTGATGGCACAGATCTGAATAACAACACCAATAATCATGACGAAGGCACCGTGCATAATCATGAGACGACGACCAAGCTTGTCACCAGCGAACAAAGCGTACATGGCACCAGCCAGACAGCCCAACTCGTAGACGGCAGTCACCAAGGCCTGCATGGTGGAGTCGCCATGGGTGATAGGCATGAACCTGCCGAAGGCATCGGAATCAATAATGCCGGACATGACACCCTCTTATGGATTGTTAGCAATGTTAGGTTGATATGATAGATCGATGTATACTCACGATCATAACCGAATAGTAGGAAACCCATAGTAGCGATGGTCGACACCGTCAACCCTAGGGGTTTGCCGGACATGCCAGCATATTTCGGCGCCATGATGAAAGAATAAAATGGGATGACAATATAACGTATCTATACAAGTCCAAAGGATAACGGACTAGTTCCCAGTGTTAAAACACGTGGGTATGAGTTGAATGGGTGGAATGACTGGAGATATAAAGACACGCGGAGAAAGCAAGAACCCCAGGAGGAGGGAATAGGGAGATATTTGAATGTCTTCTCCAACGGAATTTGACGAAAGTGGCAATGAGATTCATCGTGGGGCATATAAGATTTTTCCCCCGTGTCTACTCCATACTTGAGCCCGAGACTCTCGGGATAAAATAAAATAAAAAGAATGTAAATAATAAAAAAGCCACTGCGGTAGTAGTTGTGGTTCAGCGAATCATAGTTGTTTAATAGTGGAGCCTATCAGCCGGATGCATCAATAATGGCGGGTTAAGCATTTCTTTTGAGATCCACCCGGTAGTTTGCGTCCCTGATGACATCAGAATATGAAATTCGTGTATTTTTCATTTTCTCCGACTTATTTTTTTGACGGTAATGATTCTCATCATGATTGGTGTCTCGAGAGTGGTGGATAAGCCCTGGACCTTTGGTGTGGTGCTTGGATCCGCACCCACTGACCAAACATAACACTTTGTATAATGAATTCTGGGTCATGTTGAAATGGTTTGCATCTATTGTTCGGGTGAGGAAATAATAAAACGCGAGATTGCCCCGGAGCGGTAAGGGTGAGAAGCCCTACCGATAATAGGCTTGTACCGTTCAGGAAGGCTTGCCGATATCAAATTATCATCGAAATTGCGCATGCACACGGGAATATGGTAAGTACGACTACTAGGGTCCCTACAAAATGTACACGGACGTTGTACTCGATCTCAATGCAACTCGGAGTCCAAGCGCCAAGCCACTCCCGTCGGCGCTGGTTGCAAAACGGGACTCGGGAAGCCGTCCCCATCCCGAAGAAACTCGGCGATGACGAGAAATGCTGGTGCCGTGAAGGGATTAGCGCCACACTAAAAGGATCGGACATGGATCATCATTCTGGCTTACTCGATACAGAATGCGCACAACCCATCCTCCTTGCTCTAAGTTATTGAGATCTTTTGATATTATATGCAATGGTTTTTCTTTCTCGCTTCTTTAGGGATTCCGATCTAGGTTGTAAGTAATACAATATAAGGCTGCATATGTTGTACAATGCTGTACTCGGATCCGAAAACAACAAGTGGAATAACACATTTTACTGTACAGATTATGCGAGCCAAGAGCCAAGAGCCAAGGCGCTTAGGACCGGCGAGGCTTTTTTTTTTTTCTTGACCGTTGCTTCTTTTCAGCCTGAAGTAAAAGAATGACACATGAATTGTATAAAAACTTATAAATCTTTTCGTTTTTTTTCTTCTACCATTCAAATGACGACCCACGTCATGTCTCAAAGAGATGCGGGATGATCCATCAAATCCCCTCAAAGAGTATCTCCGGCGGAAAAGTGTCGCCTAGTATCCGCAATGATGTCGTTGAACCACTTCCTGGCGTATTCGAAGTTTTCTCGAACTGCAACTAAGTGGATACGAGCGCAACAAAGGCAACCACAAAATCAGAAGAAAATGAATTTACAGGACATGGTTGATGGTTCATTCTTTTTTCTCCATATGCGAATGCACTGGACTCAGATTGGAAAAACTCTCAGCCGTTGAAGCGTACTATGGTAGAGACTAGTTCTCTACATGGCAGGTCCGCGTGTCCATGTTCACAATTCAGGAGATTTAGGAGACTATCGATGGGTCTCCTTCGGCTAGTAATGCGTCTTGGGGAACCGCCTTCCTGTCTCGTCCTCTGTACTTTTCGTAAATATGTCAATCTTTATCTCATATCCCAGCCCATCGGGGTCCCGATGAGGGGTCGATTGGGCAATAGAACCGCCGAGCGTCAAACGATGTCACAGTGCATATACATTTTGAACAGAGCACTTTGTAAAGATAGACCCCGCTTCCTGGAGGATTTGAGTCGCCATTTCAGAGCCTCCGATGGGCTATCGGCGCAGCCGACCTGTGGGTGAATCCTTCATGGTTGGCATTAGACTTTATTATTGCCATATATATTTTTCAAGATAGGGTAATGCAAATGATGTCCATTCATGGTCCTACAATACCGCTTGGTTGAACTAATGTACAAGCATTGATGGCCCTTGGCGCCCCGGTTCGATCTACCTGTACCTCCGTGGACAGATCGAAAGATACACATGGTACAGCTCATGGACAGTGCACTTGGCTGAACCCCTTCCCCGTACAACGTCAGCGGCAGCCACGAGGCAGGAATGAGGGGTTGTGGCCACCACGGTGGCGGAAGTTGGAGAAATGGCGGAGGTGTGGGAGGGTGGAGAATGTTCGGAGGCGCCGGCAATGCCAGGAAGGGCGAGAGGAATGACCGAACGTGCCCGATGATAGCATTTGTATCGATGCCGATAACAAAGTGACCCGTGCGCCTCACACGCGTTACCACCTTGACCGGCTTTTTATTATCGTATCGTTGAACTTCGAGCATCGAACCAGGTTTTAAAGAAGCTTTGCAGGCGATCGACGGTGGCGCTGTCAGCCAAGACCAAGGCAGGATGCTTCTTCATCCGTCCACTGATCTGCAGTACTTTATAATGAGCGATGTTGCCCGATTATCAGCTTGCATTAAACATTGGCTTGGGAAAAGCCTTAGCAACTATACTTCAACACAATGGTGTTATCCATGGATGAGATGATGTACTTTGTGTACTCGATGACGTGGATTACGCGATAGGTCATGTGACAATGATATATGAATCTGGTTGCCTCAGGCCACTCGCTATTCTTTCCCCAACGAGGTGTCTCCGACATTCCAACGAGGGAATGTAAGAGCTGTTAACAACGATTTGTTCCATTGGCTATGATTACTTATGGCGTTCTAGACGTTTGAAGATCTCTTGCGTCGAGTACCGGCCTACTCTACTACTTAAGGCTTATATTATTGTCGTTGAAGGCTTCTGTGCCTGAAGTATCAGGCATTAAATATTGAATGCCTGCCTCGGCATCATAGCTCGCAGCAACGATCGTAACCTGCCCTTAGGAGTAGAAAAATACTAGTAGTGATTCATCTACAACATATTTGACAATTCTCCTAGTTCAGTATGTAGCGCAGCAAAAATAGGATTTGGAAACATTGGGTGTGAAGGAAAACATCCGGGCATGTATAATACGTTCCATACTACTGGCCGAATGCAATATAGAGAACGTGACCAGGATCGAGGCTCCCATGACGATCCCCACCCCCAATATCAATCTCAGATTCTTTGGATTTCGGACGTGATGCAAGAAATCTAAGATCAAGTTAATATACGGACTTAAGGAGCATTTGAGGTCTCATCCGACGAGTCGGCCGAGAAGCTCCCCGCAGCTTTCTCCCCCGGACTCATTTATCCCGAGGATCCACCAGGTCTTTTTCCCTTTAATTACTTCCTCTCTTCTACTCTTCTGCAGACTATATTCTCATATACTTTTCAACATGAGTGCAGGCAAGCTCACCGGCGCAGATGTTGCCGAACACAACTCCAAAGACTCGTGCTGGGTCATCGTGCACGGCAAAGCCTACGACGTAACAGAATTCCTTCCAGGTATGTGTTTTTTAACTGCTGTTCTCTCCTTGAATGTGCATTGACATATCTCAGAACACCCCGGTGGTCAGAAGATCATCCTTAAGTATGCAGGCAAAGATGCGACCGAAGAGTTCGAACCAATCCACCCTCCCGACACCCTAGACAAGTTTCTGGATCAGTCGAAACACTTAGGGGTGGTAGACATGGCAACCGTCGAGCAGGAAGAAAAGGCCTTCGATCCGGAGGAGGCCGACCGTCAGGAGCGCATTTCCCGCATGCCCTCCCTCGAAGCATGCTACAACCTGATGGACTTTGAGGCGGTGGCCCGCCAAGTCATGAAGAAGACGGCATGGGCATACTACTCGAGCGGAGCAGATGATGAAATTGTAGGCTACCATGATATGAATAATTCCCATGCATCAAAATCCCCAATGCTAACCTATACCCAGACAATGCGCGAGAACCACGCAGCCTTCCACAAGATCTGGTTCAGGCCTCGAATTCTCGTCGATGTCGAGCACATTGACATGAGCACAACAATGCTAGGCACAAAATGCTCAATCCCATTCTATGTGACTGCCACAGCGCTCGGCAAGCTCGGCCACCCAGAAGGCGAAGTCGTGCTCACAAAAGCCGCCCACCGACACAACGTAGTACAAATGATCCCGACGCTCGCTTCATGCTCCTTCGACGAGATCCTCGACGCAAAACAAGGCGATCAGGTGCAATGGCTCCAGCTATACGTTAATAAAGACCGCGAAATCACGCGCAAGATTGTCGAGCACGCCGAAAAGCGCGGCTGCAAGGGCCTCTTCATCACCGTCGACGCGCCCCAGCTCGGCCGCCGCGAGAAAGACATGCGCTCCAAGTTCTCCGATCCCGGCTCGAACGTCCAGTCCGGAGGCGATAATATCGACCGCTCTCAGGGTGCCGCCCGCGCCATCTCCTCCTTCATCGACCCCTCTCTCTCGTGGAAGGACATCCCCTGGTTCAAGTCTATCACAAGCATGCCGATCGTGCTGAAGGGCGTGCAGTGCGTTGAAGACGTCCTGCGTGCCGTCGAGGCAGGCTGTGACGGCGTCGTGCTATCTAACCACGGCGGGCGGCAGCTCGAGACCGCGCGGTCCGGCATCGAGGTTTTAGCCGAGGTGATGCCTGCGCTGCGCGAGCGTGGCTGGGAAAAGCGCATTGAAGTCTTCGTTGACGGCGGTGTGCGTCGCGCAACTGATATCCTCAAGGCGCTTTGCCTGGGCGCAACGGGTATTGGTATTGGGCGGCCTTTCCTATTTGCCATGTCTGCTTATGGGCTTGATGGTGTGGACCGTGCTATGCAGCTGCTTAAGGATGAGATGGAGATGAACATGCGGTTGATTGGAGCTACGAGTGTGGCGGATCTCAATCCCAGTCTGCTTGACACCCGTGGATTGTTGGGTGGGCACTCTGGGGTTGTGCCATCTGATACCCTTGGCCTGCGTGCATATGATCCGTTGGAGGCGCCGAGGTTTAGCGAGAAGCCTAAGTTGTAGTTCTCTTTGCTGCAATATTGTTTCACTTTTGTTCGTGTTGATGCTTGCCGAGCTGTTCGCGTCAGTCTGCAGCATGGTATCGTCTGGACATGTAACCATCAAGTTCATATATATATCTATATATTTATACCCATGCAATATGTACAATTTTTTCATTCGGGAGAGAAGTGTATCTTTATGGTTGTGGAATCTTTGATGCCAAACCTATGGAAATATATTTTGAAGATAAAGTGAGACCCAAGCCCTACATGAATAAGTACCATCGGATTTCTTCTAATATCCATTGTAGTCTAATATCATCCAAGTACTTCATACAAGTTTGAAGCTCAATGAAGTTCTGTTCCCCAAATCCCAGCCAGGTTAATGTTTTTACTAAGATGAGGACCGCCAACCGTCAACATATATATTATACAATTATCATTTTTTGTAATGTGAAATACAGGAGGGACCTTGAGAACCCTGCTTGAGTTTGCACAGGCTGAGATCAACAAAGGTGAATACCCGAAAACGAGACGCCATTTCTGGCGTAGTTAAACCGCTCAGCTTCAATGTACAGTTGCAGTTCACCAAACGCAAACCGACGAAACGTGTATGGTATTATTAACAGGAAGCAAAAAGCGAACGCTATGCGCATCGGTGGAAGATCACAGCTCAAAAACCCTCGGCGGGTTACCCAGCTTGCCACTATCACGATACATGCAAGCAGCGTTGACCATCCACCCGCCATGAAGGTTCTCACCACCCCAGACCTGGGCCCAAACCACACCTAGGATTCCGTATCCCACGACCCGCGCGGCATCCACCCAGGCAGACAGGTCGAACAGATCGCGCAGGAAGCCGGCTAGCGAAGCAAGGCGGCTAAAGCGCGCACGGGAGCGGCGTGAGGCACACAATCTTTCCCAGGCGCGTTGGGCCTCATCCCAGAAGATAGGTTCCTGGCCTGCAGATTCATGAACGTGGCCGAAGACGTGGAGGGCAGGACGGACACGCCATGATTCCGCTAGTAGATTGGGACAGCCTATGGAATATATGGGGGATAGGTCGAGGTGGGCTTGGGGTGGAGTGTGGGTGACGAGGATGTCTGTTTCTGGGGGGACGGTACCAGACCAGGCGTCGTGGTATTGAGGGTATGTGAAGGCGTGCTCGGGGCCGAAGGGGACGATGGCTGGGACTTGGGGCGCGCCGTAGATTGTGAGAGAGCGCGAGCGGGAGCTGGTGAGGGGTGTTGTGGGTGAGGGTGTGGAGGTATCTGTGAACGAAAGGGTCACAGCTGAGTGTTGGAGGTAGTGGATGTCGCCCCAGTCGATGCGGGAGGCGCTGTTCAGCTCGTGGAGTGAGTGGATGGATGCTGTGGAGGAGGAGACTGCGGCAAAGGAATCCCCCGTAGAAGCTGGGTCTATGCGGTCCTCATCTAGACGTGACCGCACATCGAAGTAGCTGTCATGGTTGCCTCCGATGGCGACTTTGTATGGGTGGGGAAGGCTTCGGAGCCAGTCAACAGCGGCTTGAATATCGCGCGCGGAGCCGTCATTGCAGAGATCGCCGGCGTGGATGAGAAGGTCTCCGTCAGGTACGTCTGGCCATTCGAGGGTGTGAGTATCGGAGATGCAGACTACTCGGATTGGCTGAGTGCCTGGCGGAGGGAGTCGAGGAGGTCCACGCAGACGGAGTAAGATCTGGTGTACTGGATAGAGTAGAGCCACCAAGGGGGAGGCGATAAAGTAGTCGGGAATAGGGCGGCGGTTGAAGGGGCTTGTCATGGTGGCAGAGAAGCCAGAGAGGCTAGAGTCTTAAGAGTTCAAGAGGTGAATCCACCGAGATAAAGTCAGGTACCCAGTTACCCCAAGCGCGCGGGGGGATCGTGACATCAGGACTACAGTCGATCTTTTTTTTTTCTCCTTCTTTTTTCGGTATCTTTTCTGATTTGATTGAAATTTGATAGAATAATTGATAATAGATGGAATATAGTGTGAGATATGATAGATAATCGGGTTAAGGTATATGTAGCATAAACGGCCTAAAACATCTGTGAAGAGAGCCAAGAAGTCAAGAGTGTCAAGAGAGTCAACACAGAATATATCAGCTCACCGAATATGTCCGTGTACTTATTACTTGCTGTGTTTCTGCCAGTTAATCGAAGTACTAACAACCTTGTGTTGAGATTTCTCTTTTCTTTTCTCTCTACATCTATTTATCCAGTATATCCAAGTATATCCAGCACGTTCAGGACACTCAGCACATTCAGTTGTTCTAGGCTATTTATTTTCTATACTCAATGCGTCGATATTTGCCACCACGACGCTGTGGCTGCTTGCGGAAAACCATTCCATCCCAAGACTCCCCTTTTCTCCGAGATCTATCTTCATTTCGATCTCATAAAACTTGACTTTGCGATCGGATCGTCGCTCTGGCCCATCTTCTTTTTGGGCTGTGCCTTACCCGCTATTTTTCATTTGGCTGCTTCTTTTTTTTCTTCCCCCTCTAAAATATTCTCTGTCTGAAATCTTCGCAACTTCAAAGCCATATTCACCTGATTACCGTGTCTTTACCGTGGTGGTAGAGGCCCCTCCAACATCCACCGCCTCTAAGTTCCGCTTGAGCCAACCAAAAGCCAGTGTGCCCCGCCTCTCAGCTTGACCTCCCAAATCTCCACACCATGGAGGGAGTCGATCTTACCAAGGCGATGCTCAACAAGGGCAAACAGATGGCAAACGTTGCTGCTTCAGCTGCCAATGGCAGCGGAGGAAAGAAGAGGAGAAAGGGTACCGACTTGAAGCCCATCCTCACCAATGAAGCGAACCCTGCGCCCGGCGCTACAGAATCGTATGTGTTGAAATGTTCCTGATGAACATGGTTACTAATCCCTGGAACAGAACCGGCGCTGCTCAGTCAAATCCCAAAGCATCTGCATCGCGCTCCTCATCCTCATCGTCTGGCGAAGAACTCGAGGCTACCGCAGAAGAGGAAGACTCCGAAGATTACTGCAAGGGTGGATACCACCCCGTCGCTGTCGGCGAAGCATACAACAATGGTCGCTATATTGTCGTGCGCAAGCTTGGATGGGGTCATTTCTCTACAGTCTGGTTGTCGCGGGACACAACTACCAACAAGCACGTCGCGCTGAAGGTCGTTCGATCCGCCGCACACTACACTGAAACCGCCATCGACGAAATTAAGCTCCTCAACAAAATAGTGCAAGCAAAACCATCTCACCCTGGTCGGAAGCATGTGGTTAGTCTGCTGGACTCGTTTGAGCATAAGGGGCCAAACGGTATCCATGTTTGTATGGTTTTCGAGGTCCTGGGCGAGAACTTGTTGGGTTTGATCAAGCGGTGGAACCACCGCGGTATTCCCATGCCGCTAGTCAAGCAGATTGCGAAGCAAGTACTGCTGGGCTTGGATTATCTCCACCGCGAGTGTGGGATCATCCACACAGACCTGAAGCCAGAAAATGTGCTGATCGAGATTGGAGACGTGGAGCAGATCGTCAAGGCGCATGTTAAGGAAGAAGCTAATAAAGAGGAGAAGGAGAAAGAGGATAACCGGAATGGGAGGAGACGGCGACGCACACTGATCACAGGGAGCCAGCCGCTCCCTAGTCCTCTCAACACCAGCTTCAATAGCTTCGACTTCAAACATAGCTCTTCTAACTCACACAGTAGCCTCAGCCAGATGGTCAATGAACCTGGAGGTTAGTTCCCCTTGATGCACCTATAGCATGATCGTGCGCGAACTGAAACTGACCTAACATCTATTGCAGAAATTCCCTCTATGAGAGAACTGCTTGGGGTGAAGGAAGAAGATGTGAAGCAAAACCAGCGAGAGAAAACTGCGTACGTCATGATATCTCATCTTCATTGCCTTGATTGATTGAAACTTGATCTAACAATATACATACAGTGATCTTCTGGAGCGAGAAGTGTCTGGTATTTCTCTCGATAAAGGCTCTTCGAGCAAATCATCAGAGGAAGAACTTGACGTCAATATTATTTCTGTCAAGATTGCAGACTTAGGCAATGCTTGCTGGGTCGGTCATCATTTCACCAACGACATTCAAACTCGTCAATACCGCTCGCCCGAAGTCATACTGGGCTCTAAGTGGGGTGCCAGTACTGATGTGTGGAGTATGGCATGCATGGTGAGTGACATGATCATAACTCATAGCGAGAGTTGAAAAACATACTAACCATCTAGGTCTTCGAACTCATAACCGGAGACTACCTCTTCGATCCCCAATCAGGAACCAAATATGGCAAGGACGATGATCACATCGCCCAAATCATTGAACTACTCGGTCCCTTCCCCAAGTCACTCTGCATGTCCGGCAAATGGTCCCAAGAAATCTTCAATCGTAAGGGTGAACTGCGCAATATCCACCGACTCCGTCACTGGGCCCTCCCCGACGTCCTGCGAGAAAAGTACCACTACTCCATGGAGGAGAGCATGCGTATCAGCGAACTCCTACTGCCCATGCTTGATCTGTCACCGGAGAAGAGGGCGAACGCTGGTGGAATGGCAGCACACGAGTGGATAAAGGAAACACCTGGTATGGATGCAGTCGATCTGGGAATTACCCCTGGAACTCGTGGGGAGGGTATTGAAGGCTGGGCTACCGAGGTCAAAAAGCGATGAAGGTGACCTTGGTGACCTCTTTCCTCTTTGTGCTCTTTTCTCAGCCTAGATGGGGCTATCCCCTGGGTTTTCATTGCGGACATGCCCTTATGGCGATGATGTGAGTTAACGATCTTTTCTCTCTTTCCATTTACGGATTGATGCTGGTTGGTTTCTGTCTTTATTTCTTCTTTCTTCAAAGCTTTCTTTCGTCCTATGCTGGTAGTTGGTTGGATGGGGTGTTTTTCAACATGGTCGTATGCTTATGCCTCGCCTTTCTCCCCTGCACATCTGTGTACCTTTTGTGTCTGGTGCTTTTCCATTTCATATCCCTCCGATAGACTCTTCTTTCTATTTTCCATTGGTCATATTCGTGATGGGTTTTTAGTCTTTAGTCTCATCTCTTCCCACTCATCTATGAAGTGCTCTCTGTCTTCTAGATTCCCTCCGCCAGGCAGACAAGTTATGACTATTTGCTATGTATGGATTCAATCTCCTCGCGATTCTTCAAATCATTATTCACGCTCAGATGCAATGCAAGGCCATTAGAACCCAATGTATGAGGGTTGTCAAAGTCTCTCCGACAGTAGATGGGTGTTCAACTTCCCATTCTCATGGCTGCTCATCCGTTCCCTCACTCGGCAGCTCGCTTGGAAACCATCCATACCGAGAAAAATCAACGTACATCTCGCCCATGCTGTCTGTAGTAACCTCAACACCTTCTTGGGCGAGAGCTTCCGCCTGACGCTCTGCACTCCCTGGTCCACTGCTATAATTGTCAGCCGTGAACACGTATAAAAGTTCGGCTCATCCCTGATCATATGGTCCAGTTTGACAGGATACAAGCTTTTGGAATGTCCTAGAGCAAACGCACCGATGCGAAATCATCCCTTTGGAATTAATCACGCGCTGCCACGGCACGGTATTCGAATTGAAGTGCGAACCAGACTCTGGCGACGCAAGTACCTTGAGACAGACCCCGACCTGACGGGGACGCTGAGCTATTACGAAGGAAAAATGATTAGTATATCTACACCAACCATATGATTGCATTCATACGTTCACCGAGGAGACGTGCGATATGACCGTAGGAAGTGACTTTGCCCCGGGGGACCTCTCGGATGGCTTCGTAGACTGCGTTGGCCCACCATTCTGCTTCTTCGGAGCGTGGCATTGTGTAGATCCCCAAATTATTTCAGCAACAAAATTCAAAGTCTCTCTTTCCATTACCGAGTCCAGAATCAAATAACCTTCACGCCTTAACACGAAGCGCTAGGCGGCATACAGTTCGGGAAAATATTCCTCCGGATCATTAAATCACTGAGCTCAACCTGCACCTCTACATTCCACATTCCTCACATACACCATACCGAAATCATGCCTGGCTCACTCGCCGACTACCTGGCAAAGAATTATCTAACAGCCGACCCTGTTACCGAGAGGCCAAAGAAGAAGCGCAAGAAGACCAGAGCGATCGATACTGCAGGCTCCGGCCTCATCATTGCCGACGATGATCCACCAGACATTCGCTCATTAGGAAATACGGGAGAAGACGACGAGGACAGACCTTTTTTCGACACATCCGCCAAAACTGCCGAGTTCCGCCGCGCGAAGAAGTCAAGCTGGAAGACGATCGGAGGACACACGCCTGGCCAAGGCGGAAGTGAACAAGAAGCCGCCGACGCAATTCTAGCCGATGCAGCAGCCGAACGCGCCGTCCAGCAAGACCCAGACGATGAAGATGCGCTTATGATAGAGAATGAAGACGACGGCGCGGGTCGCATGGAGTCCGGAGCCCGAGGAGGCCTCCAAACCGCCGCCCAAACCGTGGCGATGGTGAAAGCCCAAGAAAAGCGGCGCAAAGCGGAAGAAGCCCAATACCGCGATCCCTCAGCAGTGAATCAAAAGAGCCAAGAAACCATTTACCGAGACGCATCCGGCCGAATCATCAACGTGGCCATGAAACGCGCTGAAGCCCGGCGCGCAGAAGAAGAAAAGCGCGAGAAAGAAGAACAGGCGCGTGAGGCTCTGATGGGAGATGTGCAGCGACAGCAGCGCGAGGAGCGGCGACGGGACCTACAAGATATTAAGGCCATGCCACTTGCACGGACGATCGAGGACGAAGAAATGAATGAAGATATGAGGGCCC